TAAAAGAGAAAGGTTTAGTGGTGGCTGAGCTACCCACAGTGACTTGGAGAAAGCGTGGCTAGTTAGGCTTGGTGAGTCTCACCGTTAAGCCAGTGTATGTATCCATGTCAGACCCAGCTCAAGGTCATCCGTGTTAGAATTAGAAATGAGACACGAACGTGAAAGTCTGCTCAGCAAGAGCCAACTGTGTGTATGTTTCAGGTCCCTGAAGAGGAACTTCCTGAGAGCACTTCCTCCCAACGGCTTCAGAAAGTACCATGAGCTCCAAAAGCTGTAAGGAGAACTTTAACTCTGGGCTTACACAACCTGCAGTCTTGTGTGCCTGCTTCTTGTTCCTTCTCTAGAAAATAGCATCGTACCACATATTAAGTCTAATAATCCCACCAGGAGAAACTATGTGCCCCTTAGCTGACAACCTGCAGGTAAAATGTGTGAGTACTTCTAGGAGACATTCTAGGAAAACCTCAGGTAACCATCCCTAAGCAAACTGAATCATGTGTTCTGTGTACCCCCTCCACCGTGCACCTCAGAATGAAAATAGGGATTTCTGCCCCCTCCTGTCATGGGTCAGCTCAATGTTCATCTCAGAAAAAAAGGATGTGAGGGGATTAGGGCCAACAAGATGGTTCAGTGTAAAAGCACTGTTCTAGTCATAGTCGTCAGGGTTTTCTAGAGTAACAAAACACACACACATTCCTATATGCACGCATATGTATGTGTGTGTTTCCATATATATGTGTTCCCTTATATGTGTATATGTGTGTTTTCCATTTGTATGTATGCATATGTACATATAATCCCATATATATCCCATCTATAAGAATAAATCCATCCAGCAGAGGCACCAAGCCTGATGACCTGAACACAGCCCCTGAAAGGTGAGAACTGACGACTCTCAAATGCTGTCCTCTGATACTTACATATACTGCATGGTGTGTACAAACACAAATAGATAAATGCAAAAGGAAAGGAAGGAAGGGAGGGAGGGAGGAAGGAAGGGAAGGGGAGAGAGAGGGAGGGAGAGAGAAAGAAAGAAAGAAAGAAGGAAGGAAGGAAGGAAGGAAGGAAGGAAGGAAGGAAGAACTGCAGAGACGCCTCAGCAGTTAAGAGCAACTATTACTCTTTCAGAAGACCAGAGTTCAAACCACAGCCCAAGTCAGCCACTCACAACTGTCTGTAGTTCTAACTCCAGGGAATCCAATACCTCTGGTCTCCAGGAGGACCCATTCATGTGCATACATGAACACACAAACACGTACACATAGTCAAAAATAAAATCAATCTTTAATAAATAACTTTTAAGGTGTGATCATTTTTGTAAGACCCACTATCACTATTAAATAGAGAACTAGGAAATTAGTCCTGAGGTAGATCACTAGTTCAGTATGTGCCGGATACAGATTTCAATCCCCTGCACCACATGGGAGGTTGAGGGGAGTTTAAATTGTGAAGAATCTGTCTTGGTCAATGTTCTATTGCTGTGAAAAGACACCATGACCGCCACAACATTTAACTGGGGCTGGCTTACAGTTCAGAGGTTTAGTCCTTTGTCATCATAGCAGGAAGTATGCTGACTTGCAGGCAGACATGAAGCTGGAGACGTAGCTAACAGTTCTACACCTGGAGCCACAGACAGCTAAAAGAGAGAGACACCAGGCCTAGCTTGAACACTTGAAACCCCAAAGCTCACCTCAAGTCATACATTTACTCCAACACTTAATTCAACAAGGCCACGCCTCCTAATCCCTGTCAAGTAGTGCCACTTCCTAATGACCAAACATTCAAACATATGAGCCTTTGAGGATCATTCCTATTCAAACCACCAGCGAATTTTTCCATACGTTAGCAAGTTCATTTCAGTAAATTCATTCTCTATCTTTGGCTTGAACAGCACTGGGCATGCTTAACTCTCTTCAGGTGAACCTCATGAATGTATTCTCAAAATCCACAATAACCCAAGGTGATCTCTATGTGATTTAGGTCAACTTAATGACTAAATTTAAATAGTTAATGAATTATTGAGCTTAGATGCTCTGTCCCTGAAGCATACGCTCAAGACAACATCTCAGAACTTCTTACATTATTTTCATGGATGCCTTGATTTTATTTTGGTGTATTAATAGAGATGTGTACGTTCTTAAGATAATAGATGAAGTTAGTACAAACTCATTGCAGTCCCCAACTTATCCCCAGGAACCAAGAGTGCACTGCCTGGCGCAGGCTGGACCTGAAGAAGGGTAAGACTGTTGCTGAGGCAGAACGGGGTGGCATCATTATTTTACTCTGTCCATCCTCTGGGGTTGAGATCTCACTTCCAAAGTCCTGTCAGAAAACATGAACCTGATTGACACATACATAAGCTAGCAAAGAGTTCATGCAGGACTTATATTCAGCAATTATACCTCAGATTGGCCCATGTGAGGCAGCACTGGCACCTCACAGCTCTCAGACAACAGACACATCAGCCCTAAACTCCTCCTGCTCTCAAGGGCCATCTCCCAAGCCCAGCAAAGCAAGGACCATCCCCCAAGCCCAGCAAAGCACCTGTGATCCTGCTCACAGCAATCCACAGAAGCAACTTCTCCTGGAGGGTTGTCTGTGGATGAGAGTTCAGGGTATGTATGGTCCCATCACAATGTGGATCACAGACCGGCAGCTGGTGCAGGTTCTTTGCCTTCTAAGAGCCTCTGATACCGTGAAGTGTGCAGGGAATCAATGCAATGGCCCATCTAAGGGGATGCAGAGGTGGGAGTGGCCTCTGAAAACTCTATCCATGAACTGTGGGAACTCCTTCCAGGAAACGTTTTTAAAAAGGAAAAAGTAGATGCAAGGCCAACCACTCAACAGAACCCGGGAGGGAAGCTCTTCCAGGAAAAGGCCTTAATCCAGGAGAGGTCACCCAGCCCACCAAGGACAGCAGCAAACGCACAGTTCTGCTCATATTGCTGGTAATGAAGAAAGGAACCAGAACACAAGAGATATCATGAGAGAGGTCAGGACCAGAACTGTTAAGAAAGGCATCTGGCTAGAAGAAAGTGGCTGGAGTGGATTTATGTCGCCTCACTTGATCAGGACTAAAGGACTCCAAACCCCTCATCTCCTCCAAACACTCAGGGTTAGGCTTGGCAGCCCCCCCAACCCCGTGTCTCCTCTTGCCGAGGGAAAGAATCTGAATCTCTGCACTGCCACAAGAAGGCTTTAGATTCCATGGAACTGGGGTTACAGATGGTTCTAAGCCATCGCATGGGTTCTGAGAATGGATCCTGGGTCTTCTAGAAGAGCAGCTAGTGCTCTCAACTGCTGAGCCATCTCTCCAACTCTTGCATAAGCCTCCGTTCCTGACTCTTCAATTAATTCTTGAGCAAGTTACTTCAAGCAGCAATGACCCAAAGAGTCTAATGACAAAGCATTCTATCTGGTTCCTAGAGGCGTACCTTGACTCCAAATACAGACAGTACAATCCGCTGCTTACTAGACACTCACCAGAGCTGAAAAGATATCACTCCATCTTCAAGTCTTCCTGTGTATCAGTAAAAGTGTGTGTGTATTACCTACCACATGACTGGGTCCATAGCATGTCATGTGAAAAAATTTCAGAACTAAATTTTTCAATTAGAGTCAGGGGAATACCTTTATATAGAATTTCAAGTTAGCTGAAGTCCATTCCTATTGATTTCTTTCTTATTGTTTCTAACAAGTAAGTCATGTGCAAATTAAAGACATTCTCCTGGACAATGGTGAGCTGGATTCCAGAACAGGAGACAGGCCTGCCATCTTTGCTTCATCACCCATCATACCCCAGGGCATGTGTGCACAGGGCTGCAAAGCTGCTCACAGGTGCATGAACCAGGAGAGCTCACCCCTGGGCCTTTTACTTCTAATATGCATTCAAGTGAGGCCAAACTTCCAGGGTGATCCGAGGTCACTCTGTAAGCTTACATCTTTGTCTCAGCATTCCAATCTAACTCATTTTCTTCCAGCCTTGATTTTTTTTTTCTTTATATATCACCTTTTGGTCTCTTACGCCCTTTTTAAGTTGTCATAAGAGCTTTTGTGAACAAAGTTTAGGGTGTCACATTAATAAAACTGAATTTGATTTACTAATATTTGGTGTTGCTATACAATACAGTTTGTGGCATAGCATGTCACAAACATTTTTTTTGGCATGGTTCTATGTCAGCACTTACAAATCTGGGTAAATGTAACAGGAAATTTTTAAGGCTTTCAGGCTTTTTTCTGCATTAGTTCTAGTCTAGAAAATTCTAGATGGTAGCCTTAGGCCCTATCTGTGTACCTTTACAGTTTTACTGCTTGAGAATTTCACACAATGTATTTTTATCATATTCATCCCACACTTCTCCCAGATTCACCCCCACCTCCCCACCCCACCCCCAACCGTGTGTCCTCCTCCTGTGTGTTTCTTTAACGACCCACTGAGTCCAATTTGTGTTACCCGTATACTGGCAGAGGGGTGCCATCCACTGGAACATAGTTAACCTAGACTCTTAAGGAAAACCGGCTCCCCTCCTCCTAGAAGCCATAATACCGCCTCAGGTAGGGGTGGGGGCTCACGACGCCCCCCTCCCAGGCTAGAATGTTTGCTGCTTCCTCGTGTGCAAGGTAACAGCTGCTGTGTGCTCATGGGTGTCGTGGTCCTGTCTCATCCAGAAGCCACTCCTTCGCTCCTGTCCTCCAGACCTCTGGCTCGAACACATTTCACACCTCCTTCACAATGGTCCCTGAGCCTAGGGCAGCAGTGTGATGCGGTTAGCTGAGCATTCGCTGCACACACACACACTCTGCACATTGTGAGTGTTCACTGCGCGGGGTCGGAGAGCTGCGCACGCACCTGTGGCTAGAGATGAGCACTGAGAGGGCAGCTTGATGTTATTTCCATGTGTAGCTTCAACTTGTAAATAAAAACTGACCCAGCTGCGCGGTGGTGGCGCACACCTTTAATCCCAGCACTCGGGAGGCAGAGGCAGGAGGATCTCTGTGAGTTCGAGACCAGCCTGGTCTACAGAGTGAGTCCCCAGGACAGTCTCCAAAGCCCCAGAGAAACCCTGCCTCAAAAAAAAAAAAAAAAAAAAAAAAAACCTGACCCACGCTCACACAGCAAAATACCAATTTCAGACAGTTGGTCTACTGCGTCCCCCTTTCCTCTCGAGTCAGTTTCTAATTTCAGTAAAATACTCTCAGTAAGATGGACCATCTCAGCCGATAGAGGCCATCAGCACGTGCGTGGGCCGTGGGCACCACTGCTGGCATCTGCCAGGCTCTGTCGTCTTCCGAAGATGACACTGTTTTGCTGTTTTCTCCTTGACTATTCTTGAACACAGGTGCCTGCAAAACAACAAGATTCGCTTCGTGTCGGTCTCCGCTTTCAGAGGACTGCACAGCCTCACTAAGCTGTAAGTACGGGGAGGGGGCGGAGCTAAATGTTTCCCTCGACCAATAGCATCCTGTCAGTCTAACGCAGTCCAGTCCAAACCAGTTCTCCTGCTCAGGACTGTGCCAGGGGCCTGCAATAGTGCTGAAGGGACAGTGTAATAGGAGGCTGGGAACATGGGATTGGGGGCCACACTGTGCTCAGGCTGAGCCCGGGTTTAACTTGCCAAGTGAGTGGCCTCGGGTACCAGCATCGTCTCTACACGATGCTTGCTCTAAGAGGGCCCACCACCCGCTGTGTGGGAACAAATGAAAAAGCAGGTAGATGACGCTAGATACACGGAACCAGGCTCAGAAGACAAACTCACTGTCCACGGCAATGGCAGCAGGAGTGGCAATTGAAAGACCTTAGTCAAAGTGAGAAACCAGCACACACTGAGAGTCACCCCCAACCTCTCACTCACATTTTTTGTAAGGTTTTGAGATAGTATCTATGTAAGCTACCTGGCTTGGAACTCACTATGTAGACGGGGATGGTACTAAACTCACAGAGATCCTCCTGCCTCTGCCTCCCAAGTGCTGGGATTAAAGTCATGAGCACCACGACTAACTTCTTTTATAATGTTTACCCTTATAAATGTTTAACATGTAATAGATTTAGTGGCCAGATGGTGGTGGTGCATGCCTTCAATCCCTGCACTTTAGGAGGCAGAGGCAGGCAGATCTGTGAGTTCTAAGCCAGCCTGTGGTTGTATGCCTGTAACCCAAGGACAGGAAGAGCTAGGCAAATAAGAGTTTAACATATAATAAATTTAAAAGAGCAAAGCCTCTGACTGCGGAATCTGGTTTATTTTCTGTCTCACTTTGCCTGGTGTCTCTGGCATTCCTCCATGTAGCATGTATCAGAATTTGCTCTTTTTCAGAGCTGTACATATTCTATTGTGTGTCTATGTACCACATTCTTTTTATCCATCCCTCTGCCTGTGGGCACTTGGGAATTTCTGTCTTTTTCTACTGTGATAAGACTGTTATTACTCAGTCCATACAGTTGTCCGAGTCCCTGCTTTCAGCTCTATTCGGTGCACTAAGCCAGAAAGTATAATCGCTGTTCAGATGCTAGTTCAATTCACTTTTTTTTTTCTTTTGGAAGCTACTTCTTCAGCAGCTGAATTTTTTTATTTGAGAACCTTGGGTATATTTTTATCATATTCTTATGCTCCAACTTTCCAACTTCTCCTGTATCCTTCCCCTCCCCTGCCCACCCAACTTTGTTTTTCTCTCTTAAGAAAAATGAAAGAAGTATTAGCTGATGTCATCCTTGTAGATTTGTGGGAGTTTCTATCTTGTGTCAGGTTTCTACCTGACTCTGAAATGCACCCCCTTTTCAGTCATGATTTTCAGTACTCTCTCTCCCTCCACCCACCCTCCTAACCCAATCCCTCATGTTTCCATCCCTACCTATCCCAGTTAACCCAGGAGATCTCTCCTATTTCACCTTCACAGAGAGATCCATGCATCCCCCCTTGGACCTTCCTTATTACCTTGTCTCTCTAGGTCTGTGGATTGTAGTATGGTTATCCTTTACTTTACAGCTAATATCCGCTTAGGAGTGAGTACACGTTATGTTTGTCTTTCTGGGTCTTGGTTACCTCACTCAAGATTATTTTTACTTCAAAATTTCCTGATGTCGTTGTTTTTAACGGTTTAGTAACACTCCATTGTGTAAATGTGCCACATTTCTTTATCCATTCTTTTGTTGAAGGGCATCTAGGTTGTTTCCAGGTTCTGGCTGTTACAAGCAAAGCTTCTATGAACATAGTTAAACAAGTGTCCTTGAGGTATGATTTAGCATCCTTTGGGTACATGTCCAAGAGTAGTATAGCTGGGTCCCGAGGTAGATCAATTCCCAATTTTCTGAGAAACTGTCATATTGATTTTCAAAGTGATTGTACAAGCTTGCACTCCCACTAGCAGTGGAGGAGTGTTCCCCTTGCTCCACACCCTCTCCAGCATGAGCTGACATTCGTGTTTCTGAGCTTAGCCATTCTGATTTGCATTTCCCTGATGACTAAGGATGTTGAATGTTTCTTTAAATGTTTCTCTGCCAGCCAGGCAATGGTGGCACATGCCTTTAATCCCAGCACTCTGGAGACAGAGGCAGGTTGATCTCTGTGAGTTCGAGACCAGCCTGGTCTACAAGTTCCAGGACAGCCTCCAAAGCCACAGAGAAACCCTGCCTCAAAAAAGCAAACCAAAAAAGAAAAAGTTTCTCTGCCACTTGAGATTCTTCTGTTGAGAGTTCTCTGTTTAGGTCTGTACCCCATTTTTAATTGGATTATTTGGTATTTTGATGTCTAGTTTCTTGAGTTTTTTATAAATTTTGGAGATCAGTCCTCTGTGGGATGTGGGTTGGTGAAGATCCTTTCCCATTTTGTAGGCTGATATTTTGTCCTATTGACAGTGTCCTTTGCCTTACAGGAGCTTTTAAAGTTTAATGAGGTCCCATCTATTAATTATTGATCATAGTGTCTGTGCCACTGTTGTTCTATTCATGAAGCTGTCTCTTGTGCCAATGCATTCAAGGCTACTTCCCACTTTCTCTTCTGTTTGGCTCAGTGTTACTGGATTTATGTTGAGGTCTTTCATCCACTTAGACTTCAGTTTTGTGTAGGGTGATAGATATGAATTTATTTGTTTTCTTCTATGTGCCAACATCTAGTTATACCATCCCCATTTGTTGACAATGCTGTCTTTTTTCCATTGTATAATTTTGGCTCTCAGGAAGGTTGTACAGGTTGGCCCTGTACAAGCCGAGACTCCTAGCAATAGTGGATTAATAATAGAGGGACTGAAATGGCCATCTCCTGTGAAAACATTGGTAACTACCCAAATTGTCATCAGAGAGACTTCATGCAGGAACCAATGGAAACAGATGCAGAGACCCACAGCCAAACATTAGGCTGAATTTGGAAAATTCAGGGAAGAAGGATTGTAAGAGCCAGAGGAGTCAAGGACACCACAAGAAAACCCACAGAAAGAACTAGCCTGGCTCATGGAAACACACAGAGTCTGAACCAACAACCAGAGAGCCTGCCTGGGAATGACATAGGCCCGCTACATATGTGTGACAGATGGGAGGCTTGGTCAACTTGTGGGACTCCTAATAATGGGAGCAGGGACTGTCTGTAATCACTTTGACTCCTAATAATGGGAGCAGGGACTGTCTGCAATCACTTTGACTCCTAATAATGGGAGCAGGGACTGTCTGTAATCACTTTGACTGGATTTGGGAACCCAGTCCTCATACTGGGTTGCCTTGCCCAGCCTAATACAAAGGGAGGAGCTTACTCCTACCTCAACATGCCATGATTTGTTGGCACCCATGGGAGGCCTGCTCCTTTCTGAACAGAAACAGAAGAGGAATGGATTGAGGTAGGGGTGTGGAAGGAAGGGAAGGAAGGGAATGGGAGGGAAGGTGGGAGGGGAAACAGCAGTCAGGTGTAATTTTTTAAAGTAAATAAATAAAAAAGAAAAAACTTAAAAATAAAAACCATGAAGTCCAATTAGTACTTGTCAACTGCTGCCGGGCATGAGGCCTGCCCTGAAGTATGGCTCATACACTCGGTGTCACTTCAGCAGGCATCAGTTTTAAACAGCTTCTTGGCTACTCCCCTGTGCTGGGATTGTGTCTGACTTACACTTACGCAGGTCTTGAGTATGCTGCTTCCTTAAAATCATCCTCTACATCTGCCTCTTGCAATCTTTTCACCTCCTCTCCCACGGAGATCCTCAGGGTCTTGAGTTCAGTAAAGGCAACCTGTTAGGGCTGAGCGCTCCAAAAGTCTCCCATTCTCTCCATGTTGCCTGGCTGGAGATCTGTGGGCTAATTACCATCTGCTGCAAGAAGATTCTCTGATGAGGGCTGCGTGAGGCATCGATCTGTGGATACAGCCGTGTAAGATGCTTCTCTGATGAGGGCTGAGTGAGGCATCGATCTGTGGATACAGCCGTGTAAGATGCTTCTCTGATGAGGACTAAGTGAGGCATCGGTATGGTGTTTTCAGCAATAGGGCGTTGGTGTCGAGTTGTGGAGGCTACGTAATAGCGTTGGCAATAGCCTACGATGTTTGGAGAGGTCTATGGTAGTCCTTTGGTCAAAAGCCTCCAAAAATGTAACTTGTTCACGGTACTGGGGGAGGGAGGGTACTTGGTACCACATGATGTGTGGGTGAGGCATTATCTTCATCTTATGGTGACTCCATTCAAACTCTTTGTGTATATATCTTAGGAGGTTCCCACACTAGTAGGTTTCCACGTGGACTTTCAGAAGTCCTTTAGTGTTAGTTACTCCTCCCCACACGCCCTCCTGTTCCCTGGCGTCCATCCAGGGACTCTCCCATTCTCACCGCTTCACTTCTGCTCTAACTTCTCCTTTATTGCTCTGTAGCACCATCTTCTGTACCTCTTGTTTGTCGGCTGCACCGTTTTCATCTCCCGCCAGCAGCACGCTACAGTTCTAGTTTCCACCATGCTCGCCCGCACTCGTTCTTTCCTGGCTTGAAGGTTTGTTTCCGCTACTAACGATCCTAATCGGTGTGGAGTTGTGCGCCAAGGACCTTAGGAGGGGAAAACAAAAGGAAATCCAGTTTTTCCTCTTGCATTGTATGCACATGGATATTTTTCTTGTATGTATGTCTGTACGCCCTGTGTACTCAGTGCCTGAGAATGCCCGGAAAGCAAGTCCGGGACTGCAGTAACAGCGAAGGTTGTGAACTACCGTGTAAGCGTAGAGGATCAAACCTAGGTCCTCTGGAAGAGCAACAAATGCTCATAACTCCTGAGCCATCCCTCCAGCCCAGGGAAAACTTAAAAAAAAATAGGCTTTCAAAGTTCCATCACATTCATCCATGTCCTTACAGGGCAGCCTCTTCCAAGAAAACATATCTGAAACTTGGGTGAATAAACAGCATCTCTGCATTCTCGTTCCTTCCATTAGATTCGGTTTTCTTCTTTTTAATTTATTACAGTCTTATCTGGTAGGGGTGGGCGACTACACAGGCAGGACATGGCCAGTGCGGAGGTCAAAGGACCCCCCTCAGTTTTCTCCGCCTAATATGTGGGTCCTGGGGATTGAACTCAGGACACCGGGTTTTGTAGCGAGCACTCCTGACATGCTGAGCCATCTCACCAAGCCTGCTCATTTGGTTTTCATCCCACCTCATTCTCTATCTTTTCCCAACAAGTCTGTTTCTATCATATTTACAGTCTGTGGTGTCACCAAAGTGTGAGATGGAGTCAACAGCACCTAGCAGTTGGTAACAAAATGGTCCTGGGCGCCTTAGCCCCGCCCCCTTCCATTTGTCCGGAGCTGGCTGCCCTCCACTCTCACCTGGCTCCGCTTCCTCTCCACAGGTGTACTCGGTGGATTCGGAACTTTCCGACAGTGTCAACTTGGCTTCCTGTTTAAGACACGGGAGACCTTCTTGAAAGGCAAAATGGAGCAGGAAAAGAAGTCTTAAGACTCCTTCTCTTCCCGCTTGTTCCTTTGGCACCCGCTGATGTGTTGGGGTTTTTTTTTTAAGATTTTTTAATTTACTTATTATGTATATAGTGTTCTGGCTGCATGTATGCCTGCGTACCAGAAGAGGGCACCAGATCTCATTACAGATGGTTGTGAGCCACCATGTGGTTGCTGGGAATTGAACTCAGGACCTTTGGCAGAGCAGCCAGTGCTCTTAACCTCTGAGCCATCTCTCCAGCTCCCTATTGTGTTTTCTTAAATGTCACAAAATGTGTGCTTTTGTTCATGCTTAAAAGGATTCATTCCATCCTCTAGTGGGCAAGTGTTCAGGAAGATGTCTCTGGAATATAGGACAGTTAGTCAGACATACTGTCTTTAAGGAGATGCTTGCTACCCAAGAAATCCAGGGCTCCCTGAGCTGTTCTGGAGGGCATCAAGCCTCCCATTTTCTGGAGAGTAAGCAATACCATGGTATCAGCACTTAAGTCAAAACCTGTGTTGCTCACACCAACTCTGCCTTCATAGATCTGTGCCAGTCAGACAAATACCTGACAGAAACAACTTAACGGGAAGCAGATTCCGCATGACTTGTCGTTTCAGAAGTCCATCTTTACAGGCAGCGTGGTGCAACGCATACCCGGGGAGTCTCCCCTGACCCATAGTTAATTCTCTCTGAGACCCTTCACAGACAGTGTCTACTGATCTCCCACATGCTTCTCAATCCAGTCAGGATGACAGTCAAGGTCAAAGCCACGGGCACTCCGGGAGACCTGATCGTTTCTGGACTAGAGCAGTGCAGGATGGTCCCGAGAAATGAAGGGGACTGGACAGTGTGGTTGCCGGTGAGGTACCAGTGTGGGAGGGGCCCTGACTCGTGAGAGAGCCCTGAGGTGTTCGCGGATGTGCTAAAGCTATTTCTTAGTCCTTCTTTGCCTGCCTGGCATCCAGGCCTGCAAAGCAGGAAGGATGCAGCTTAACCTAGGGGACTAACAAGGGAAAGTCAAAAGTAGTGGGGGAAAAAAAAGGTCAGATGTCTGGCAGGATTTCTGCAGGTTGTCAGCTATAAAGTATGAGAAAAGTAAAGAAAGATATTTTTAAGTGGGCTGGGGATAGTAATGTTTGCCTAACATACACAAAGCCCAGGTTCTGGTCCCCAACATCACTTAGACCCAGGCACACGGTGGTGCACTCCTACAGTGCCCGCACTTGAGAGGCAGAGGGAGGTAGACCAGGGAGTTCAAAGCAAGCCTTGGAAGCTGGAGGCCACCGTTGGCTAGATGAGGCCCTGCCTTTAAAAACTAAAAAGCCTCCCAAAAGGAAAACAGTGGAGAAGTGCCAACGTGGCCCATTTATCTGGGCGCGGGGAGCTTGAATAAGTGCTCGCAGATGAATCGTGGGCGGAGATGCGGTAGAAGCAGTGTTCTAACGGTGTCACACGCCGAGCACAGATGGCATGACCTGGCTCAGTTGTGACTGCAACCCCGTGGGGGAGGAACTGAATGCAGGTCTTAGATGAAGGGAGCTAGAGCCCACCAGAACTAAGCGCTCCGGGTCAACGGAAGAGTCAGAACCAAACTGATAACAGACTCGAAGCAAAGATCCCCTGATATATAAACTGAGATATAAACAGACATGACAGAAAGACGTCAGGGCAGTGCGGCGGCACTGGCTTGCTCTGCAGGGAGAGAGGTGCAGGTGGGTAGGCAGAAAGAGGCAAACTCATCAGTAAAGCATGCCACGGCCTTGTGCCAGCCAGCCCCTCCCGACCCCGACCCCAAGTTCCTTCCCAGGGTCCTGTCACGGGCAATGTCTTCCTTAGGGTTTTTATTGCTGTGAAGAGACACCATGACGGCAGCAACTCCTATGGAGAAAACATTTAATTGGGGTGGCTCGCATACGGTTTCAGAGGCTCGGTCCACCGTCATCAGCACGCAGGCCGATGTGGTACTGACGTAATAGCTGGTGCTGAAGGGAGAGCTGCGGGTCCTACATCTTGAGGGCAACAGGAAGTCAACTATCTCACTTGGTGGTATTCCAAGCGCAGGAGACCTCAAAGCCCACGCCCAGAGTGACACACTTCCTCCAACAAAGCCACAGCGCCTAATTGTGCCACTCCCTGTGGGGTTTGGGGGCCAGTCACATTCAGACTGAGGCGCACTGGATTCCTAGCAGTCTCTCAACTTCCTACACTCTCGTTGCTGCTTTTGCCTAAGGTTCTTTGCTTTGTGAACATCGTGTCCTCTCCCAGGATGCTTCTGAACTGTGCCTCCTTTCTGTCTCCAGTCCCTTGTGTTCCTCAGGGTCCCCATCTTTACAGCGCAGGTGCACCCTGCAGAAGAAGGGTACCCACATGTTGTACACACCCCTCTGGCGTTTGTCCGTTGCCTTTCCAGATGCAATGTCCTTCAAGGGATGGGCTGATACACCCGTCACAACTATGCCACACTCGGTTAGCTCTCTGTCACCGCAACAACATTCTTGAGATAATTAACTCACCAAGAGTAAATATCTTTGACTCACACTTTTGGAGGTTTGTCTGTGATTGATTAGCTGACTCCATTGCTCTGACTGAGGCAGCACAAGATGTTGGGAACTTGTGGCGGAGCCCTCACCCGCCTCATGGCTGGGAAGTAAGGAAGAGAAATGCATCCTTCACGTGCACCCAGAAGAGCACATCCCCAATGACCTGAGGGTTCCCACAGGGCCTTAAAGGTCCTCAGCCCCTCCCTAGCGTGCTCCCCTGGGAACAAAGCCTTTGACCCATGTATACCTATCCAGATGGCAGCAGGGTAGGTGATTAGAAGACAGACCAATTCACCAGCTAATTATGAGAAATCAAAAGCTAGACACAACGCAGGAAGTAATGCGGGCCCTTAGAAGTTCAGAGACTGGAGGTAAGTGTGGGATAGGAAAAAATCCGAAAGGGTGATGACCATCCTTACTTTCCTTCTCATAAAACGTCAAAAAGAATAAACTCGTTGCTGTTGTGTCTCCTTTACAGGTACCTCAGTCATAACCGAATAACCTTCCTGAAACCAGGAGTTTTTGAAGACCTCCACAGACTGGAATGGCTGTACGTTCCAATTGTGTGCATTTCCCTATATTAGTCTCAATGTTCTGAAAATACATGCGTCACTCTGCTCTCTTCCTACCGACAGGATAATTGAAGACAATCACCTCAGTCGAATTTCCCCACTCACATTTTACGGACTAAATTCTCTTATTCTCTTGTAAGTACTCAAATAAAACAGACAGGGAGGGGAGAGGGCTCAGTGAGTGAGAGGGGTCCCTGACAAGCTGGTTCGATCCCCAGGGAGCTGAGTGATGGAAAGATGGACTCCTGCAGGCTGTCAGTTCGACATAAAAACTAGCATGCACGCACGCACGCATGCACACGCAGCAATAAATATAAGTAAATCAATGTAATAAAAAAATTCTAAAGTGTTCTAATTGAAGAAAGAGGCAGAAATGAAAAATTAAAACTTTAAGTGTAGTAGCATTAAATTTGCAATTTTTAAATCCCAAAGGAAGCTTTCTTGACTAAAAACCACCTTGCTGTATTCTCTAAGGCTACTTACGTAGGTCTGATCATTTTGTAACAAAGTTCTGCCAGCCCACCAAATCTGAGGACAGTCTCAGTGCTGTACCGCGCTCAGGCACCCCTGAGACCGTCCCTCCCGTGCAGCAACTTCAGCAGAGGACGAGCCTCAGACAACGTCACCTCGTTTGCGCAGCCCACTGCTGACTGGCGGGCGAGGGCTTTTGCCTGAAGACTAGTATTGCTGCCCCCCTGCGCCACAACTGCCTTAAGTAGAAATGTTCTCACTAAGAAGCACTCCAGTGCTTTAGGGCGTGTACAGAGAAAGTGGTGGGAAGACTTGCAGCATGAGAATCTAGCACTTTCTGAAAAGTAGCAATAACTGTGCTTGCCTAGCGATAGGAAAGAGCCAGAAAAGGTGATTTTGGTGGTTTCTTTCCTTTTTAGAGCGCTGATGAATAATGTCCTCACCCGTTTGCCTGACAAACCCCTCTGTCAGCATATGCCCCGGCTACATTGGCTGTAAGTCTCTCTCTCTCTCTCTCTCTCTCTCTCTCTCTCTCTCTCTCTCTCTCTCTCTCTCTGTCTCTCTGTCTCTGTCTCTGTCTCTCTCTCCTTCTCATATATATATATATCATATATATTATATATTTTCTGAATTTAACTAACTTATATTTTACATCAGGGGGTCTCCTGTGCCAGGTGGCTGGTGTATCACGTTTCTTTGCATTATTTTATTGTATTTTATATTAAACATACTCGTTGACTAACTTCTCTAAACTTGCACCAAAATGCAATATCTGAAAGAGAAAAAGTATTTTGGAGACAGAAAGAAGGAAGACAGAGGGACGTCACACAGTCTGTGCCACACTTCCTTTTCATGCCGCCAGGTCACTCGCTTATTAAGTTGATGCAGAAAGCTGGGTCACTTTAGTCTTGTTCCTAAATTCTGAGAGACAAGAATGTGCTGCTTAGCACTAGTCATGAGAGCATGGGGATTGTGAGACATTTTGAGACAGTCCCTTACATGATCTGTGTAGTTGTTGGCATGGTGGCTTTGCCTGGTACTAAATATCACTCCACTAGTTAGAGTTCAATTAGCCAGTAAATTTGCCTGCTTATAATATAAGTTTGGTCAGGTGTGGGGCTCACACCTATAATCTTAGGAGACTAAGACTCAGCAAGAGGCTGAGGAAGAAGAATTGCCATAAGTTCAAGGCCAGCCAGGGGTAGAGAGTGAGGCCCAGTTATTTAAAAAAAATACAGAATAAAGGGGTTTGTTTTGTTTTATTAAGAAATGAGTAAAATTCCTATTTAAAAGTTCAACCAATAAACTGCCTACTAGAATCAGGAAAACTCCCTCTACTTCTTATAAGACATTTTCAAAAGTTGATTGTTTGGTATCCAAGTTCACAGCAAACTAGAAGTGACAAATTATGAGGGCAGGGAGATAGTGAGAAACACTATTTTTGTGAGTGGTGACAGCTGTTGACATGATTGTAACACAAGAAAAAAAAAGTCAGATAGAAAACAAGACAGGTTTGGTCCAGGCTCATTTAGAATCCCTCCAGGGAAGGAAGCATTTCACAAGCTCTTCAAAGTTCAGAGGCACCTTGGTGTGACAGCCCAGCTCTTTCCGTAAGTGGACAAGCTGAAGCCAGAAAGAAAAGGGAACAATGAATCAATGACCTTCCCTGTAAATGATGCTTGGTTCAAAAGGGTACTCCAGCAGCCACTGAAATCCTGACTTAGTGATGAAACACAACTGAACAGTACTTACACAAAATCAGCACTTAAAACCGTGTGCCTTTTGAGACTGGAGGGAGAGTTCATTGACTGAGTGTTTACGTAGTGCATGGAGTCCTGGGTTGAATCTTAAACACCCCCCAAAAAGATATGAATTCAGACTAAGTTTTTTAAAACAAGGTTTTATTGTGTAGCCCAGGCTGGCCTTGAAGTCACTCCCGAGTATGCTCCTGCCCTAGTCTCCCCAGTACGAAGATTATAAAGATGGGAGCTGCCGCCAGCAACACTTAATGAGTAGTTGTTGATTCTTCAGGGAGCACTGCCCCCTGGTGGTAGATTCATGACTAACCCTTGACAATAAAATAAAAGAATTTTTTTAAGTGAAAATTTTTAAAGTAAAAATAAAAAACGCGTCTGACTTAAATAAGGGCAGACCCAAAGCATGAGCCAAGGCAAGACTCTAAGCATTTAGCAGCCACTTTCACAGAACAAAGACTCTGCCTCCCCAAGGGCCAATCTGCTGCTCACTCTATAGCCTGACTTCAAATGTATTCATTTTAGGATACTTTCCATCGCCACTACACCTTCTTCTTCAATGTACTCCACTTTTAGATCCCTTAATTCCAGATATTCCCATCTTTCAGATATATTTCACTCCGTCAATGTCAACTTCTGCACAGTTCCCAAAAACAAGGCTGACAGTTCCCCCTGGAGCTGGCAGGACACCAGCATCTCTCTTGAGCTTTCTGAGTTTTCCTTGGAGGCTTTGGTATCTCCCCAACACTTCTACCCTGCGTGACTCACCATTGCCTCTGAGTAACTTCATGCAGTCTGGCAGCCATTAAACTGAGTGTGTGATGCCCTTAGACCTGAGGGCACTGTCCAAACTTCCACCACACACTACTGATGGAGTCAAAGAAGAGGGACCATGGGAGAGCAACTCCAGCTGGGGGCACGGCTCAGCGGTCGGGCACGAGCCTTGTTTGTACAAAGCCTTGCCCTTGATCCTCAGCACTCGAAGAACAAAGGTAACCTTTGATGCTGTGACTGGAGCAAGCTCTCAAGGGGAACGTCTATGCACATCCCCCAGCTTGAGAGTGGGGGATAACAATCCGAAGGACAATTATGATGGCTCCCAGTAATGGCAAGCTGTGGGGAGTCTTTCCTAGGACTATTTAAGTGAGGAACTAAATACTGTCTTCTGGAGATCATCACAGAAAACCACAACCATAAAATGCAGACAGCAACTGATCATAGGATGCCCAGCCCCAGCAGATACATCTACCCGTAGGGCACTAAAGGAACATATCACAAGATTGGAGGAGGGAGGGTGTGAAAGATTGTAAAAACCAAAGTACAGGTGGGAGAATGTGTCTCCCAGAATAGATAGGAAGCCATACCCATGATACCACAATAATATAGCCACATTAACAAGACTGGAACAATGATAACACTAATAGACCAAGAGGAAAATCTCACCAGGTCCACCCCTTGGCAAAGAAATACAGACAGCTAATGACTTCTGAGAGAGGGAGCATTTGTCTTCTCCAGTGATGAGCACCTAATTGGTTATCCAATACAAATGGTCAGCTCTGAGATCATATATATATATATATATATCACTAAAAAGACTCGGTAGATTGTACTTATATATTTATGTATGTATATATCTGTGTGTGTGTGTGTGTGTGTGTGTGTAAAACTAATAATAAAAGAAAAAGAGGCCAGGAATTTGAGAGGGAGTAAGGAAATATGGGTGAAATTAGAGGAAGAAAATGGTATAATCATGTTTTAATTAAAATTTTTGATTATTAAGATAAATAAATGAATGAATATTGTCTGTACAACCACAGCCTCTACAGCCTACCTGGAACCTGTAGCTGCATTTCTGCTTAATGAAGCACCTTGCACCTCTGAACAAATGTTTAATATGCTTGGCTACCAAATATCTGCTAATAAATTGGATATTCCCTGCAGGAATTGTTTTTCTACAATTTCTTGGAATAATAATGTCCATTTCATTGTGGACACATGACGAAGATGTGACTCAAAACATTTCTACTCCTTGGTACTGGGGAATTGAACCCAGGACCTCACATTACATTTACTATTAGTATAGAAGACAGACAATGATTCTACATGTATACAGCATATATATATATATATAGTATATATGTAAATTCAGCTGCTACACAGATGATTGTAAACAGAATGTGAAGAAAAGACATTTACTTAGCAGGTAATTTTTAGACAATTTATTTCTATCTAAAGATTTAATTTGATTGTGTTTTATTTTTATATTCTAGGGACTTTGAAGGCAACCACATCCATAATTTAAGAAATTTGACTTTTATCTCCTGCAATAATTTAACAGTCTTGTAAGTACTATCTTTTTTATAAGTAATGTGACTCTCCTTACAAACCAAATGAATATTTTATGTGTGCAGAGCCCTGCCTGAGTATGTGCAGAAGCCCGAAGGTGTGATCCCTGTCCTCATCTGTGTGTGTGTGTGTTTGTGCACATGCATGTGCATGTGTTTATATACATGCATATGTATGTATGCGTGTATATATAATGTATATATATATATACATCATCAACCATAAATGAAAAAAAGAAGCTATGAGTTTGGAAGAGAGCAAGAAGGGGTGAGAAAGGAAAGGGAAGGGAGACGTGATGTAATTCTAGTCTCAAGAACAAAGGAAAAATTAAAGAAAAAAAACCAAGTCAATATCTTTAATCCTAGGACTCCAAGGCAGTAGCAGGTATATCTTGAGTTTGAGGCTAGTCTAGTCTGCATAGTGATTTCCAGGCCAGCCAGAGTTTTATATGTATGTATGTATGTATGTATGCATGCATGTATGCATGTATTATGTTTTCATGGATGACCCTTTGATATTGGAATTGACTTTTAAACTCCTGCGTGGAAAAAAATCATTTGCATTTCCTCATGGTAGGTGTGCATGTTGTAGGTCCACAGTTACCAGAAGGTGACATGGTTTGTAGTTATGGAAGGAATTAAATATGTAAAGCTAGCACAAGGTTACTCTAGCAGACACAGAAGGGAAATGACCAAAGTGAATAAAAAAATAAATACATGTTCTGGAAATGACAAAGCACCAACAACTTCTAAAAGCACAGAAGAGAGAATAAGAGAGAGGGGAGGTAGAAGGCAAAAAGGAAAAGAGAAAAGTAATGCCTGACAGTAAGTACAATTAGATAAATATACAAGAAGGGAGGAAAATATGTCGTGATTTATAAAATGGAATAACGTGGAACTACTACTAACAAAGCAGCAAGAAGAAAAGGTGGGCAGCAGGACTCAGTGATGAAAGCAAAACCATCGAGGGTTAGCACTGCTTCAGTCTGTGCCCTCCAATGGACTCCACTAGAAGGCGTGGTGTGTGTGCGTGCGTGCGTGCGTGCGTGCGTGTGTGCGTGTGTGCGTGCGTGTGTGCATGCGCGTGCGTGCGTGCGTGCGTGCGTGCGTGTGTGTGTGTGTGTGTGTGTGTGTGTGTGTGTGTGTGTGTGTGTGTGGCTTGTGGGTAATGGGGGGCTTGAGCTTGTGTGCCTGGCTTGTCGTTCCTACGGCTTACGCAGGTGCTGAGTCTCTACTGGACTAATGTCTGGATGGCTATCAGAATTGTCTTCGCTTTGCTCCTTTCCCTTCTGTGTATACTAGAGTTCCTCGCTGGTCTTTGCTTTGGTCCTGTCCCTTCTGTGTCTACTACCATTTGGGTAGAGGAGGGGAACAAGTAAGAATGAGGCAAGTAAAATGGAGGAGGACAGAGGGGTCATGATATGAATAAAAATCAAGTATTATGGAGTATATGTAAGCAAATGCTATTATAATGAATCCCATTATCTTATACCCTAAGCTAAAAAGGTTTTAGATAAAAGAGTAGATTTAAAAAACAACAGGAAGCCCTTTGAAATGAAAGACCCCAGGCGGGGGACTTTCACGGGAGGGAGACCCGAACCCAAGGAACAACGAAACCACGAGCTTGGATGCAACAGCAAGAGGCTTTATTTACACACGGGTACCCGGGCGTCTCAGTCTTGGGGGGCTAAGTGCCCCGAGCTGGGGACTCGGGGGTTCTTTTATAGCAAAAAGCGTAGTACAGAAGCGAGAAGCCTAGTTACAGGTCCCTGATTGGACAATTTAAATGAGGCTGGGGCTCAGAATCGAGGGCAATTGAGGTTTTGCTTGGAACTCAAGTCTCGGCCTTGGCCCTATCTGAGGAACAATAGGTTTCTGTGTGGCTATGCAGACAGTAGACACCTGTGCCCCTGCCTGGACAGAGTTCCCTTCTGATAGTAGTGACTATTCAGCCATGAAGACCTTGAGCTGAGCTCCCTTCTGATAAAAAAATGACTATTCAGCTGAGCTGTGGGGGGAAACGGAATTTTCCATAAGCCTCAGCTGCCTCCGTGTAGGCTGGGCCGGGGTCTTTCAGAAATTTCCCAAATTAGTCATTTATGCTGACAGATAACATAGATCAGTAAAGAGGAAGACGGAGATAGGGTGTGGACCAGCCATACAGCAAGTATGAGGTCCTAGATTCTCTCCCTCCCTCCCCCCTCCTCCCCCCTCCTCTCCTCCCCCCTCCTTCCCTCTCTCCCTCCCTCCTTCCCTCCCTCCCTCCCTCTCTGTCTCTCTCTTTCTCTCTCTCTCTCTCAGTCAAGAGCAAGTGCTACCGTCTGACTCATGTTTCCAAACTGAAGAGACATTGAACTGGTCCCTTCAGACCATTCTCTCTTAAGCAAATCCATCCTAATTCCATGCACTAGCAAATAAGAGCTCTGTGGTGCATGGAGCCTTTTGTTAGACAGACACACTTTGCGGACTGTAGAGATGAGTCTAAAACAATCCCCGTGCTCATAGCTGCAAGATACTCAGTTTTTGTTCAGAAGAGGTGAGGTTTCCTTTCAAAGCTCTTCGCCATTTCTAATTACAAATTTAAATTACATTTTCCATGTTGTCCCAGTTAAAAGGCTTGAGAAATTTAAGAATAAAATTGAGTTGAAGCTGGATGTGGTGGCACATACCTACAATTGCAACTCTCAAGAGACTGATGCAGAAAGGTCATGAGTTTGAGGCCTGCCAGGGCTGCGTAGTCAAGACTGTGTTTTTAAAATAAATAAATTGAATAATAACATACTATTCAAAATATCCTGATATGAAAATGTATTCTATATTCATTATATTTATTATTTCTTCGTAGGAGTTACATTTAGGAATCCATGTGATAATGTGATAATTATATTGACATGTTAACATGGACGTTTCTTTTTACTTTCAGGGTAATGAGGAAAAACAAAATTAATCACATAAATGAACATGCATTTACACACCTCCAGAAACTATATGAACTGTAAGTTTAACTAATATGCATTTAGAATGCCTAACTAAATATGTATTTAGAATGTGTTCTTTTCCAGTTTTATTTTGTGTTACTTATACATATAATATTTATATCTTTAAGAAATATTAATTTCCTCTCTCCAAACATGGGTCACAAAACAATTCAGATAGATTACAAAAGTGAATATGAAGTAAATATTTGAGGTAAGTTAGATGAAGGAAACAGCTTTAGACAAAGAATAAAACCAGAGTAAAATTAATATAACCCATACTGGTTTTTGGTTTTTTTTGGTTTTTTGTTTTGTTTTGTTTTTTGTTTGTTTGTTTGTTTTTGCTCCAAGGGGGCAGAATATCTGTCATTAAGTTTCCCAGAGGGTTCGGATTGAGGAACCACAAGATTCAAAGACATAATTCTTCTGAGGCTGGAACTGAAGGGTTATCCTGGACCCACAAAGAAATAAAGCACTGCTTTAGTAAAGATCCCTACCCACAGTAATGGAAGAGAGAGATGAATTTGAAATATTTTAATGTCCCCTTTTAATACCAACAGCATAATTACAAAGTCATCAGAGACATCATATGATGAACCCAAAGCCCTATGATGATTGGTGGTCAGAATGAAATAATAGGAACCATCAGGGAACCCCAGATCATTGTCTATTTTAGTATACATTATCTGGGAATAACCTGTAGTGGATGCAGTTACATGTTTTGACAATTATCTAGGCCAAGCACTGAATTACTGAGTCTTTCATACTTTCATAAAGTGTGCAGGGGCCTATGGCAACTGTTAGGAATACGTGTTGCTCTTCCAGAGGACTGGAGTTCAGTTTCCAGCATCCACACTGGGCAGCTCACAACCACCTATAACTCCAACCCCAAGGGATCTGACACCGTCTTCTGTAGTCTGAAAGTACCTGTACATGTCTGTGTGCACACATATACACACATGGCGGTAATGGGGGCTGAGAATGAGAATAAAAATCTTTTTTAAAAAATAGTAAACTGAGCAGTGGTGGTGCACACCTTTAATCCCAACACTTGGGAGTCAGATGCAGGCTGAGTTCAAGGCCAGCCTGGTCTACATAGAAAGTTCCAGGACAGCCAGGACTACACAGAGAAATCCTACCTCAAGAAACCGTAAAGCAACAACAACAACAAAAATTAAAGGTACAGAGTGTTGGACAGCTCACTGCACATAGGCAGGTAAAGGGAATGTAGTGAACAGAAAGTTTATCAGGAAACAGTCCTGTGGCATATGGGCCACTGGAAACCCAAAACTTCTTCTGTAATGAATAGCTTGAAACATCTTTGGTATGCACTACCAATCATTCACAAAATGTACATCTAACTCTCAATTGATCATGAGACCTGGACCCTGTGGTGAGAATAACATGACAATCAAATCTTATCATCAATGCATAGAAAATTACTCTCAATGACAGGGAGAAATGTGGCTGAGATGAACAAAAATCGTTATCTAGCCATTAAAACAGAAGTTAGCGATCCATATTGTGCTACTTTTATTCAACTTGAAATTATCACCTAAGTATCAGAGGACATTTCCCCCAAGTCATAATCATTACAGTTTTCTCTGGTGCAGACCTCATTTCATAACCAGTAGTGATTGTGGAATACATACAGCCTCATTGCAGAGCCAGAGTCTGCCTAGGTTCACAGACAATGGAGAGAGGGGCCAAGGTTGATAATTAGCCTTGCCTAAAGCCTGCCTAATCCCACAGCAAACACTTGCCTAAACACCACAAGGACAAAAATAGCCCGTTCTCCAGGAGGTAATGATCCTCGGATGGGCCTAGATTGGAGCTCTAGCTTTGAAAGGAGGACTGAGTTCCCTGTGCTGGGCACACCTTGAAAGCCTACTCTTGTCATAGAAACCCTTATGTAGTTGCTGGTACAGAAAATCTAAAAGATCAAAATGGCAGAAGGAAGAGACTACAACAATCAAGAGGAAGCCCCGTGTCCAGAGCGTCACACTGGCACTCTGGTGCATGTGTAGTCTGTGGGGAAGCATCTGAGGAGACAGTAGCAGGAAGCGAAGTTAAAAACACATGTCATTACTTCAAGACATCTAGGTCACTGTAAACCATGGAAGGGATTTCTGAAGGATGAAATTTTATAGATTCCTTTACCAAATCAGAACAATGCATCTTCACAGGTGATTTACCCATGACTATGCAAATCACAAAGACAGCCATGAAATTCAGTATATACATGTACAGTTTGAAGTGAAGGCACTCACAGCAACAGTTGTGATAGTATTTGTCAGACTGGATCCGTTGTTTCTTTTTAGTGTCAAAAACGTAATGAAGCTAGGCATGGTGGGACACATATATAACCCCTGAACTGGGATACTTCTTGGTATTGAACACAACTCACTAATGGAGCTGTTGGAAAGTTGTAAATGGTTTTCTAATGAATTTTCTACCAATGAATGAAGTCTTCAGAAACCAATATGACATGGTTGCAATTGTTTCCCTAGGGATTTGGGAATCAATAGGATTGAAATTCTTCCACCGAACGTATTTAAGGACCTGAAGGAGCTGTCACAATTGTAAGACATTAACTTACCACTTCCTTTCTTTACTTTATTTTTTTAATTGTGGTGAAATTTACATAGCATTGATTCATTCCTTCATCTGCACCATTGGATCACACCAAAATCTTCCATATTGTTGGTCAGCTCCCACCAACATCCACTTCCATAGTTTTTTTACTTAGTACAAAGCTGAAACCCTGTACCCATCCAGCGCTCACTCCAAATTCACTCTGCCCTAGCCCTGGCAACCACGGCCGTACTTGATCTCTCCATGTCAAAGTTGCTGTACTGTGACTGGCTTATTTTTCTTACCATACCAACACGGTGCATCAGTGTTGTAGTATGTATCAGAATTCCCTTTGCCTTTAGGGTGAGTAATAACACCTCATACACTGTGCACAATCATCTGCCAATGTGTGGTTCTTAGGTTGCTCCCACCTTTTGACTAGTTTGAATTGATGCTATTATAAACACAAGTGTGTAAATTCATGTCTGGATGTCTACATTCAGTCATTTGGGCTCTACGCTCCTTCTCAGCTCACAGCAAACTTAGTCATCCTGAATCCGAACTGTTAGTTTAAAGTTTCATCTAATACACCTGCCCTACCAACTATTGTAACTTAGGAGTCAGTGCACTGGCTAGCGTCAGCTTTGTACCCTTGTGTTTCCACGGCTGGCTGCAAGCTGAAGCACACACTGTATCGTAGCACTTACTGCTAGCCCAAGGAAATATCAAAGAGGACCTTCTTCTTTGTCCCTTTGTCCCTTCCTTCCTCGATGTTGCTTATTGGAGCTCAGGGGCGCAAGCACTCCACCAGTAAACCATACCACCTCCCTTAAAGTTCAGCTTCCGCTAACGGTGTGTTGCTTTTACGCAGCTGTAAAGTGAAAAGTGATAAGCCAGAGGTCACCTGTACACCCCCAGATGGTGGATGACGATGTCCCATGGTCATGCTAATTTCATTCTGTTAATTCTCTTTCCTACCAGGGTAGTCCCATCTTACATCTCTGCCATCCGTGCACAGAGTTCTAATGTCTACAATCCCAACACCTGCTGTTTTTCATTTTTGTGGCTCACAGCCGTCTTAACTGAGAATCCTTGAGGGTCTGATTTTCATTTCTCTGTTACTAGTGATGTTGAGTGGCTTTCCCGTGTATTTGTTCATCTGTCTGTTTTTGGAGGGAGAGGGGAACTACTTGGGTGCTTCATTCGTTCCTACACGAGCTTCTTTTGCATTGCTGTTTAGTTCTTCCTACATCCTGGTTATCAGCCCTACAGACATAGGACCTGTGTTTTCCCCCTACTGTGGATGACATTTCCCCTGTCATTCTTCTTTAATTTTAATGCACTGCCATTTTTATCCTTTACCTTATTATCTGTATTTTTAGTTCATGCACCAACACTGCTGAATCCACACAATACAGTTTTTCCTGTATTTTATTCTAGTTTGATAGCTTTACATTTCAAGCATGTGATCCGTTTGAGTGCATGGTACAAAATGTTTTAATTCTATTCCTTTGCATGAGGCTATCCAATTTTTCCAACACTGTTTGTTGAAAAGATTATCCTTTCCTTGTTGAATGTCTATGGCACCTGTGTCAAAAAATTATCTGATTATGTCTGAGTAGGGTTGTTCCTGGGCTCTGCAATCAGTCCCTTTGGTCCACATGGCTGTAGATTACTGTGCAAACCCTAACTTTCCTGTTCTTCTTTCAAGATTGCTTTTGTTATTTGGGTTCCTTTGCTGTCTTACATGAATTCATAAACTCTAATATGGACTGAGTCTCCCAATGCCATTAATAATAATATCTTTCCTTTCACTGGTGTTGATCTAGCCCCTTTTCTGCTACTATAACAGAATACTTTAGCCTAACTGATCTATAAACGATAGAATTTTGGGTGATTAGCTATTCTTGAGGTTTAGAAGTTCAAAAGTCAAGGCCAAATCTAGTGAAAGTATAATTTCATCCTCAGCTATACTTTGTCTCTAATTCTGGTAAAGACTAATTCTAAATGAGCTTTATATATCTACTGGCCACTGTATGCCTTCTTTTGAGAAACATCTACTCCAGCTCTTTGTCTATTTCTCAATCGGATTATTTGTCCTTTAACTATTGCATTGAGTTCCTTATATCATGTAGATATTAATCCATCCCCTGATATATGCTTTGCAGGGGTAGGGATCTGGCTCCATGGTAGAGTGTGCTTGTGGTCCCTAGAACAAGACAAAGGAGTGGTGGAAAGGACAGGTGTCTTTATAAGTCATTTCTCTCACACTATAGACTTCTTTTAGGGTGTGAAGAAGTTTTTTAGTTTAATGTGGTCCTCTTTGTCTCTTGTTGCTTTTACTGTCTGCATTTTGGAAGTCACATCCAGGCTTTTGCTGTCTGAGTTTTGAAAGTCACTACCAGGCCATTGTCATGGGGTTCTCCCTCTGTGGTCTCAGGTCTTACATTTAAATTTTCAGTATTCTTAGAGATTTACTATAATTTTTTGGTAAATGTTTCAAATTCATTCAAAGTCAACAAATAAATACTCTTGGTCCAAGCAATTTTTAAGAACAACTTAATATTGTCTTTTTTTAAAACAGAAATATTTCCTATAATCCAATCCAGAAAATTGAAGTAAATCAATTTGATTATCTTGTGAAACTGAAGTCTCTGTAAGTATATTCATATACAGCTTTTCTTCAATGCTAGTAACATACATGTTCTCATGCCTTTTACTTTTGTTTTATTTCCAACTCCCCAAAAATATATGGGTCCTTGATGAACTACAGACAGATAGCTAATGCTTTTATCTCAAGCATTAATAAGCTAAAAATTAAATGATAAATGAATCTCCACTCTACACCTCTCCATCACCAGGATCTTACGCTGAGTTGTGCAATTACACTCTCTAAATGTATGGGGCATAGTCTTTACTCCATTAATTCTGAGGTTTTCTATAGCGTATGTCCTAGTTTGCTTCTCTTTCTGTAATTAAATGCTGACCAAAACAACTTGGGGAGAAAGGGTTTATTTGATCTATAGGTTGCTGTCCATGATTGAGGAAACTCAAGGCAGGAACTTGAGGCTTAAAGCAGAAACCATGGAGGAATGCTGCTTACCGGCTTGCTGCCCCTAGCTTTCTCTGCAGGCTTTCTTACACAGCCCAGGGTCACCTACAGTATCAGTCATTAATCAAGAAAACGCGATATGCCCACAGATATGCCCACAGATGGATATGCCCACAGATATGCCCACAGATAGATATGCCCACAGATAGATATGCCCACAGATAAATATGCCCACAGATGGATATGCCCACAGATAGATATGCCCTCAGATAGATATGCCCATAGATATGCCCACAGATGGATATGCCCTCAGATAGATATGCCCACAGATATGCCCACAGATGGATATGCCCACAGATAGATATGCCCTCAGATAGATATGCCCTCAGATAGATATGCCCACAGATATGCCCACAGATAGATATGCCCTCAGAAAGATATGCCCTCAGATAGATATGCCCACAGATGGATATGCCCATAGATATGTCCACAGATGGATATGCCCACAGATAGATATGCCCATAGATATGTCCACAGATGGATATGCCCTCAGATAGATATGCCCTCAGATAGATATGCCCACAGATAGATATGCCCTCAGATAGATATGCCCTCAGATAGATATGCCCTCAGATAGATATGCCCATAGATATGCCCACAGATGGATATGCCCTCAGATAGATATGCCCTCAGATAGATATGCCCTCAGATAGATATGCCCACAGATAGATATGCCCTCAGATAGATATGCCCATAGATAGATATGCCCTCAGATAGATATGCCCATAGATATGTCCACAGATAGATATGCCCTCAGATAGATATGCCCTCAGATAGATATGCCCATAGATATGCCCACAGATAGATATGCCCTCAGATAGATATGCCCTCAGATAGATATGCCCACAGATAGATATGCCCTCAGATAGATATGCCCATAGATAGATATGCCCTCAGATAGATATGCCCATAGATATGTCCACAGATAGATATGCCCTCAGATAGATATGCCCTCAGATAGATATGCCCATAGATATGCCCTCAGATAGATATGCCCATAGATATGCCCACAGATAGATATGCCCACAGATAGATATGCCCTCAGATAGATATGCCCTCAGATAGATATGCCCATAGATATGCCCTCAGATAGATATGCCCTCAGATTAATATGCCCACAGATAGATATGCCCACAGATATGCCCACTGGCCAAAATGATGAAGGCAATTTTCCTCGACGGAGGTTCCCTCTTCCTAAACGTATAACGCTGAAAACCAAGATTAGTATCCTTACCCTAAAATGCAGTTTTCTAAACTAAACTATGTAACTCATGCTTCTCACAACATAAAAGAGACAAAACTTCTATTAATGTTTAGGAATTGTCTTTAAAGTACAAGCCTCAGTTCATCTTATTTAACTATTCTACAGTAAAATAGCCCTTTATTAGAAAAAAGATATGACTTAAGAATATTAGAAAATTTAAAGATGGGCAGAATATAATGTGTATGCACTTATTCTATGAATATTTATTGGCTAGTTATCATGAACTGTGAAAATTTTAAAAACAGGATATACATGTCTACAAATGTAGGAAGTCTTTAGGTAGGCTGAGTCTGAGCATTTCACTTAGAATAATGTTAACTTAAAGCATTTTATTACATTGTTCTTCACAAAAAATAATTATTTTATTTAGCTCATGCTGTCTCTGGGTGTCAGGGTCTGTACTGAAAGACCGCAGAGGTCAGTGTTGTTCTCGTGTCTCCATAACATTTGCCGGTCACCCATTGCAGAAGCTGTTTTCAGGAAGCTGGTAACTGGTGAAAATGTTTCAGATAATTGGGCCATTGACAGCAGCGCTGTTTCCGACTGGAACGTGGCCTGGCCCCCAGACCCAAGAGCTGTCAGCTGCCTAAGAAATATGGCATTAGCACAGCCCATAAGGCAAGACAGATTACAAGGGAAGACTTTGTCACATTCGATTATATAGTATGTGTTGATGAAAGCAATCTGAGAGATTTGAATAGAAAAAGTAATCAAGTTAAAAACTGCAAAGCTAGCCAGGCGTTGGTGGCACATGCCTTTAATCCCAGCACTAGGGAGGCAGAGGCAGGCAGATCTCTGTGAGTTCGAGGCCAGCCTGGTCTACTAGAGCTAGTTCCAGGACAGCCTCCAAAACAATACAGAGAAACCCTGTCTTGAAAACCAAAAAAAAAAAAAAAAAAAAAAAAAACTGCAAAGCTAAAATTGAGCTTCTTGGAAGCTATGATCCCCAGAAACAACTCATTATTGAAGATCCCTATTATGGCAATGATTCTGACTCCAAAGTGGTGTACCAGCAATGCCTCCGGTGCTGCAAGGTCTTCCTGGAGAAGACTCACTAGATGGTCCTGCCCACCACCATTGAGCAACTCTCTCACAGAGCCATGCCCAAGGGTGGTGGCAGTCCTTAGCCCCACGCCCCACCTGTCTTTTCAGCTGACTTACTGTCAACCTGTAAAATAACTGTAGGTGGAAAGTAGGTATATGTTCAGAAGGATAAAAATATCTAAGTAAGACAGTTTGATGTGACGCTAAGCATCCTTAGACTAGATGAACCTCTCACTTTGCCCAAACTACAAAATAGTGGAACAAGCAAAGTAGAACACAGTGAAGTAAGAATGACCTACAAGGTCCAGGTCAGCCTCCAGCCCCAGCTAGCCTGGGTGGTCTGATCTGACCAGAGTGTGTGCATGGCCAGCACCCAGGGGCGCCATTTGCTTGCCTTATACCATCTCCTAGACTCTTAAGACAATAATTCCATCCGCATCAACCTTCCATTTAACACTGGTAGAGTTTAAACTCAGACACACTGAGGGCATTTAAATATTCGGAAGAGAGGAAGCTGGATAATGCAGGCCTGAAATTTCATCAGGCCATCCTGGGCTATACAGTGTTGATAGGAGCAACAGATCAATAAAACTAGCATTTTTATTCTTGGTTTTTGTCTAGTGATTTGGGGCTTTGTTCCTATTTGAGTCACTTTAACCTCTTTTTTAAAAACAGGTGTGCTTAAACAGTGGGATGTTTGTAGTGTTCTTTCATCAGCATTGTAAAATTACAGGCAAGCATGTATAATTTAAGTGCATTTCCAGAAAAGTGACCTCACATTCATATGTCAGCAAAGAATTTGCGTTAAACTGGGACGTTAACAAATATAACTGAAATTGAAAAACAAAGAATAATAATTGTTTTATTATTCTGTAGATAACATGTTCTTTTGACTATTCCTTGGTATTTTTAAGCAATCTAGAGGGAATTGAGATTACAAATATCCAACAAAGGATGTTTAGGCCTCTCGTGAATCTCACTCACATGTAAGTAGATGTTTTCTTCTTGTTCACCTTGATTTTGATCTTTATATCCCCACATGTATTGTGATAATGCACCCATACTAAATGTAAATTTAATGTCAGTTTCTGCTAATTTGCCTCTGCATGCTTGGTATTTGTGTCCCTCTTCCAAACTGTATGTTGCAATGTTGACCCCAGAGTGATGGTATTATTAAAAGGTTAAGCCTTGAAAAAGTGATTGGCTTCTGACAGCAGATCCTTCATGAATAGCATTAGTGTCTTTTTAAAACACGATTGAAAACTAGGGGTGGTGGTGCACACTTTCCGTTTCAACACTTGGGAGGCAGAGACAGGTGGATATCTGAGTTTGGCACCAGCCTGGTCTATATGGGGAGTTCTAACCTAGTCAGGGCTTCATAGAGAAACCCTGACTCAAAACTAAAATGAATTTGAGACAGACTGGAGCTAGTTCTGGGTTTGATGGGTTCCCAGCATGCAACAGGAGGGAGGGAGGGAGGTGTGCTGGGGAGATAGCTCGGCTGGGGAGCGTGCCTGCTATGAAGGCATGAGTTCACCAGCACCCATGGGCGCCTAGAACCATGCGAACCTGTAACCAAAGTACTAAATGGTCAGAGACAAAGATTGCTGGGGCTTGCTAGGTGACCAGCCTAGCTCTGGTTTCAGTGAGAGGTTTTGTCTCAAGGAAGTAATAAGGAGAGTAACAGAGGGAAACTTCCTAACTTCTCCTTAGGTCTCTACCATAAATGTACACACAACAGAGAGGGAAAAAATAATGAAATTAAAAGTATCAGACTTTAGAAAAGGAAAAAGAAGGAGAGAGGGAGGGGAAGGAAGGAAGGGAGGGAGGGAGGGAGGAAGAAAGAAAGGAAGGAAGGAAGGAGGGAGGGAAAGAGGGAGGGAGGGAAGGAAGGAAGGAAGGAAGGAAGGAAGGAAGGAAGGAAGGAAGGAAGGAGAAGGAAGGATCTCTCCTGCACCATCCACCCTGTAAGGACACAGTAAGAATGCCTCAGGAGCAGCACATCTAATCTGCTGGCTCCTTGACCTTGAACTCCCCAGTGTGGAGAACAGAGAAGAAAATGTTCATTATTCAAGCTCCCAGGCTATGGTGTTTTTCAGCAGGCTAAATGGTCTCCAACATCAGCAGTTAATAATTAACTCTAAAAGCTTGACATTAGATAGGTGGATTTTAGTTTTCCACACTCTGATAAAATGTTATGGAAATTTTTTCAAATACCAAGAAACACAAATATGAGTGGGTCTCTCAGCCTTACAAGACACTCTCATCTCTGATATCACTTACCGGTGATGATTTTACCCGACAAAGTAGTGATGTGTTCTTTTTATACAAGTGCCATCAGTGAAGAAATAAGAATGTATATAGTATCATAAAACAATTACAAACAGGGCTGCGGAGATGGCTCAGCAGGTAAAAGTGCCTGAGTTGAGACCCTTGGAACCCAATTAAAAGAAAAAGGGGTGTGTGGTTTATGATCTCAACACAGCTCTGGTGAGCTGGGAGACAGAGACAGGAGAATCCACCCTGAAGCTTGGGAGCCACATCCTGCTGAAATAAGTCATTCACATGCCATCAGCAAGGCTCGGGTTTCTCGTACGACATTTGCCTACCCTGGGCTAGGAGAGGGCCTCCGCTGTATATCCACCATGAGCCCTGTGGCTGGAGAATGGCTTCCCTTAGAAGAAATCAAGACACTGTTGCTAAAAGATGAATCTGTCCTAGCAGCCAAACTAGCAAACACGTGTCTGCTGAGGTTCTGCTAATGAAAACAGTTGGCCCCCAGACGCTTAAGACAAGAAGAAACATCATGTCCTTCCTTATATTCCGCTACCCCATCACAGCTCATAGAGAAATGCAAACAACCAGCTGGACATACCAGCAGCTGACCTTGCCTTTGTCAAGGCACAGATGACCATCTGCCGTGTATCATTCACTACTGTAACTTCTTACACTATTGAGATAACTTCTATTTTTGCCACCACTCTTTGCCTGTGAGACAGACTGACACAGTCTGAATTCTAATATCTACTATTACTAGAAATTTTTCTATCAAATAATTTTCCTCCATTGAAGGTTTCTCTCCTATTATAGTGACGCTAGCCTAATCTCATGGAGTTCATTAGAAAATTTATTTTTGGATGTCTAAAAAAATGTGCAACAACCGTTGTTTATCTGGGTTATGTCTTTATCAAAGTGGGCATCTATAGATGAATGACTTCACTCAACATTTCTTTAAGATTTACTTATTTATTATGTATACAGTGTTCTGCTTCATGTATGCCTGCAAGCCAGAAGAGGGCACCAGATATCTGGGAATCGAACTCAGGACCTCTAGAGGATCAGCTAGTACTCTTAACCACTGAGCCCATCTCTCCAGCCCTTCACTCAACATTTAATTCTTCATTGTGCTTAAGAATCTATTGAGTGATAGATATGCTTAGTAGTTATTGATAATAACCTGATATAACATTGTATTATAACTTCTGTAATAAAAAAAAAAAGCTGTGGAAGCAGCAAGGGAAAAGCACTTATTAATTCCCCTAAGACCTGAGAAGTAAGATCAGCCCTGGCAAAGCTTATGGTTACAAGAACTAAACTGAATTCTGGAAGCAGCCACTGGGAGCTCCTTTGAGTAAATTTCTTCTGATGTTCACAGGCTAACCAATTATGCATATGCTAAGACATGTCTAACATGTATTCATTACAAGTGCTTTAAGTTCTTATCCACACATTCTTTTACTGTAAGGCCAAGTGAATAAGAATTAAATTTTGAACTTCAGAATCATGAGGGATTGGTAAGAAATGTTTTCTATTCCACTGAATCTTATGTGATCACAGTTTCTACTGAGAACCTATTGAAAACAAGTATCAGTGATGTTTAACTTAATGCTAAGCATGTGCTCTACTTTTGTCTTCTCTTTGCACATCAGATATTTTAAGAAGTTCCAGTACTGCGGATACGCGCCACATGTGCGCAGCTGTAAGCCCAACACAGATGGGATTTCATCCTTTGAGAACCTCTTGGCGAACATCATCCAGAGAGTCTTCGTGTGGGTCGTGTCTGCCGTCACCTGCTTTGGAAACATTTTTGTCATTTGTATGCGACCATACATCAGGTCTGAGAACAAGCTGCATGCCTTGTCCATCATTTCTCTCTGCTGTGAGTATTCCCTCAAATGGGCAAAGTCATTGCTATGAGGAATAAATTCCGTGTGGCTGAAGAGATGGCTCGGTGGCTGAGAGCGCGCACTGCTCTTCCAAAGGCTTGTAACTTCGGCTCCAGGGACTTCAACACCTCTGGCCTCCAAATATGTAAATAGGGAAATGTTTCCAGGAAGTATTAAATTTTTTAAGCTTTCAAAATATGATTGTACAGTATTACGTTAAATGGCCACGTTTACTATTACAGACACTGTTCAAAGCCTGAGTTTAATTTGTTTTCATTGTAAGCTATGCTATGTGAGAAACAGAACTCAGCAAAATGTTTACAGCTTTGTATGGTTGCTTTGTTTGACATATTTTTTTTCCTTACTGTTCTTTTGCTCATATATTTTGGGCTGTTTTGAGGTTTTTGTGTGGTGTTTCTTGGGAGTTTTGTTTGTTTAAAAACACAGGAAGGGCGTGGAGTTGGGAGGAGAAAGGGGAGTTAGGGTCTTAAAGCAGTTGAGGAAGGGGAGAACATAATGAGAATCTCCTGTGTAAAAATATTTCAGTTTCAAAAATTAGAATCTACAAGATGTGATTTTTAAGGACTTAGGATAGACTATTTAAATGGAAAAAAACTCAACATTTGCTTGAAAAGGAAAATAATGTCAGAGAACATGATATATATTTTGAAAATGTCATAATAACCAAAATACATTTAAATTCTCAAATAATAATTATTAATATTAATATAGTATTAAAATATTATTGTAATAAAAAGAAAATACATAATGAAGGTCATCATTTTATAAAATAAATATACACTAACTGAAAGAACATCTAAAAGGCAAAAATGCTATGAAGTATATATACATACTGAGTGCTAATTAATTTCAAATATAAGAACCTAAAAAGAGACAGAAAAATATAAATATGGAAGAGAGTCAAGAAAAAGCATACTGCCTAGGTGAGCTCCGGTCATTAGCCCTCCTAAATTGTGTTGGCTACAAAGCTACTCCTAAATTTATAGACCTCAAAACTCGTAGTCTTAACTCTATCAACAAAACTTCCAGATTAATGTCTCCAGGTTTTGGGTGATGCTCTCAGCTTGCTGAGCTGGGAGAGCTTCAGTGGAAGAGTGGAACCAAACAACGTCCTCACTGTTTAAGTCCATAACTGAATGTACTGCACGACCCATTTTATTCATTTGTTTTATATTGCCAAGTGATGAAGCTAGATGAGACCAAAATAGAGAGGATCTCTGATCTTATAAACTGACACTGTAAGGAAGACGAGAGATGATCACATAATTAACAACAGTCTTTTCTTTTTAATGTTTTTCTAATTTTAAGTATGTGCATGTGTGTTCATGCATATGCGTGAGTTTCCAAGGAGGCATAGGCATCTGGTCCCCTGGAGCTGGAGTTACAGGTAGTTAGTTGCAAATTAATTGACATACTGACGGGAGTCAAACTCAGATCATGTACAAGAGCGGTGCCCACCCCTACCGCTTAGCCATCCCTCCAGCCCCGAAGAGTCTTCTGTGACAGCGGTTACAGAAGGGATTAGTTGGGGATTTGCATGGCACTGGGGGCTGAAGCCAGGGCTCCTTCGCTGATGCTAACTAAGCAAGCACCCTGCTGCCAAGCTACACAACCAACCTATGAATTCTTAAGAGAGTAAATGTGTCTCCTCTTAATACCGAAGAAAAGTTTTGTGTGAAGATAAGCACACTTAGTGTTTCTCTGAACCTGTGAACTTGGGATTCTTGTAGGCGCTGACTGCCTAATGGGAGTGTATTTGTTTGTGATCGGAGCCTTCGACCTCAAGTTTCGGGGAGAGTACAACAAGTATGCCCAGCCGTGGAAGGAGAGCGCCCATTGTCAGTTCATGGGGTCTCTGGCCATTCTGTCCACGGAAGTATCCGTTTTACTGTTAACGTTTCTGACGCTGGAAAAGTACATCTGCATTGTGTATCCTTTCCGGTGTTTAAGGCCCCGGAAGTGCAGAACCATCACAACTCTGACTTCCATCTGGATTATTGGGTTTGTGGTGGCCTTTGCTCCGCTCAGCCATAAGGGATTCTTCAAAAACTACTATGGCGCCAACGGAGTGTGCTTTCCTCTCCATTCAGAAGACTCGGGAAGTACTGGAGCCCAGATTTATTCAGTGGTGATTTTTCTCGGTAAGAACAACCTTCGTGTCTTCTAACTCTCGCTGGAGGAGTTCCCAGTAAGAAACTCATTTATGCCTTCTATTGTTGACGAACTTCTGTCCTTCTAACCTGCTGCTGCAGGGGTGAATGGCATCAGGTAATCCGAATACCCGAGGAGAATTCTTTCCCTCAAATGACACTTTTATCATTTAAATTCCAATTATATTTTACATACCCCAATAATATAAACATAATAATATTTACTATTGTTTCAAATTCCTATGTACAGGCATACATACCTTTGGCTTTACCATATATGTGAAATTGTTCTAAACCAAAAAGAAAATATTCTCAAAGAACAGCACAAAGTTTTTGGAATATGAGGAAATATCAATACTATTATAGAACAAATGATTCATGATCAAGTTTATTTAAAATGCTAATTTACAATTAAACATATCATCTGTTGTTACTTCAACAATATTTCTTGTCAGAAGAATTCATAACTTCTGTGTACCTTAGTAATTCTGCGAAGAAGAAAAAATAAGAAAAAAAGATTACATTAAAAGCTAGGCATATGCCGGGCATTGGTGGCGCACGCCTTTAATCCCAGCACTCAGGAGGCAGAGGCAGGCGGATCTCTGTGAGTTTGAGGCCAGCCTGGTCTACAAAGTGAGTTCCAGGACAGCCTCCAAAGCTACAGAGAAACCCTGTCTCGAAAAAAACCCAAAAAAAAAAAAAAAAAAAAAAAAAAAGCTAGGCATAATGTAATGTACTCATTGGGTTTTTGGTGGTGGTGGCATCTTTTATTTTTATTGAAAATAGATATTTTTATATACTATATTCTGATTATGGTATCCCCCTCCTCCAGCTTCCCTTCCCTCCTTACCCACCCAAACCCAAACCCTTTCTAGCTCTTTCCATAGAAAACAGATTTCAATTATTAATAATAATAATAGTGAATAAAAATAAACCTGAGCAGGAGAAAATAAACAAGTGAAGAGAAAAAAAAAAGCCAAGGAAAATGCACACAAATCAGGTGGTGGTGACACACGCCTTTAATCCCAGCACTCAGGAAGCAGAGGCAGGCGGATCTCTGTGAGTTCGAGGCCAGCCTGGTCTACAGATCAAGTTCCAGGACAGCCTCCAAAGCAATACAGAGAAACCCTGTCTCGAAAAACAAACAAAAAAGCCATAAGATATATAAGCAAAAGACCTATAAGGTTAATTTTTTTAAACCCAGATACAGTATTGTGAGACCAAAAGAAAATTCCAAAAGATACAATTAAGTCCATTTTGCCTTGGCCATCTGCTGTTGGTTGTGGAGCTTGCCTTAAGTGTGGTTGTATCATTGGAGCTAGCTTCTGGGTTAGGGATAGGGGCTTGTATTGTTTTTGTTATTTTTGTTGTTACTAATTTCAGCCCTGGGTTGGATTATCTTGCCCTCTACTCCTTTTGAGATTAATTTCTTCCTTTTGTTCCGGCTTTCAGGTGAGCCATAAAGTTCATAATATGAGGTCTCTCCAATGTAGACACTTAATGCTGTGAACCCGCGTCTTAGATTTGCCTTCAATTGTGTGCCATAGGTTTGGATGTGTTGTTTCCATTTTCATTCAACTCTAGGAAGGTTTTCATTGCTTTCTTCTGTATTAACCCATTTTTCACTCAGGGGTGAGTTGTTCAGTTTTCATGAGTTTGGAAGCCTCCTGTTATTTCTGTGTTCTTGACGTCCAGCTTTAATCTGTGGTGGTGAGATAAAATGCAGGAACGTTTTTCAATTTTCTTATATCTTTTGAGACTTGCTTTTTTCAAGTATGTGGCCAGTTTCAGAGAAAGTTCCATGAGCTGCTGAGAAGGATTAATCTTTTGTGCTTGAGTAAAGTGTTCTGTAAATACGTTAGGTCTATTTGATTTATGACATGTTAGTTCTAGCATTTCTCTGTTTAGTTTTTGTCTGGATGACCTATCCGTTGGTGATAGTGGAGTACTGATGTCACCCACTAGCACTGTGTAAGGGTCAATACATGATTTTAGCTATAATAGTGGTTTCTTTTATGAACTTGTTTTTTATGCATAGATGTTTAGAATGACAATGTCCTTTTGGCAGATTTTTTCCTTTGGTGAGATTGTAATGTCCTTCTCTATCTCTTCTGATTAGCTTTGGTTTGAAGTCTATTTTGTCAGATATTGAATAACTATACCAGCTTGCTTCTTGGATCTATTTGCTTAGAATACCTTTTTCTACCCTTTACCTTGAGGCAATATCTATCCTTGATGTTAAAGTGTGTTTCTTGGATGCAGCAGAATGATGGATCCTGGTTTTTTAATCCAATATGTTACTCTGCATCTTTTTATTGAGGGAATTGAGACCATTGATGTTGAAAGCTATCAATGAGCAGTGTTTGTTCATTCCTGTTAATTCTGATGTTATGGTGTGGGGTTTTTCCTTTCTTTTGATTTTTCTGGTCTGGGATCATTTATTCCTTATGTTTTCTTAGAAGTGGTTACTCTTCCAGTTGAAGTTTTCCTTCTAGTGCCTTCTCCAGAGGTGGATTTGTAGATAAATAAATTTGCTTTTATTGTGGAGTGTTTTCCTTCTTCTATTGTGATTGAAAGTTTTGCTGGGTATAGTAATCTGGGATGACATCTGCGGTCATCTCTTAAGAGTTTGTAAAACATCCATCTATGCCCTTCTGGCTTTTAGAGTCTCCACCTAGGTGCTGACCTCAGGTGGTGTCTGTGATGGGTGAGTGTTCCATTTCTTGGTTTCTCTTGTCCTCTCTGAACCTTAGGAGAGTATGGTAGCTGTGGGCTGCCTGGGAGAGAGTGCTTTTTGAGTCCCTGCTGGGTGTGGCCCCTGGGAGTACCAGGTTGAATATATTTTTTAGATTTGAGAACTGACATGAAGGAATGGTGGCAGGCTGTAAGGGAGATGGGACTGAAAGGATCTATAAGAGGGAGGAAAGCTGGGTCTGCCGAAAGGTTTGATGGAATTACCAGAGTGTGGAATCAGAGAGGAAGGGCAGGCGCTTGCAGGTTGTCTGCTACAGAGCTGGGGATGAGACTAGGGAACTGGAATTGAAGGACAGGAAGGAGAATGAAGATGGATTCCCAGTGGCCATTATGTTCCCAGGTAGAGAGCGCTCTGGGTATTGGTGGCTGACACAAAGAGCTGGGGTAAAGGAGGAAGGCCGGGTCCAGATGATTGCAGGCTCCCTGGGGAGTGGAGGCAGACCTGTGAGTGGTCTGTGACAGCAATGGGGACAAAACTGTGGAAGGAGACCTGGTACACATTTGTAATCTAAGGCAGGAGGACTGGAAGTTGGTGTCCAGCCTAGACTTCCTAGTCAAGTTGAAGGCTAGTCCAAACTCTACAGTAAGGCCCTTTCACAAAGTGAATAAATAAATAAGTACCACTTTATGGGCTCTGTGGTCTTTAATATTAAGGTCTAAAGCATGTTTTATCTGCTCCTCCTAAGAGAATGCTAACATACACGATTAATATTCTTCGTGGTCTACACAGGTATTAACCTGGTGGCATTTATCATCATCGTGTTCTCCTACGGCAGCATGTTTTACAGTGTTCATCAGAGTGCCATAACAGCAGCTGAAATACAGAAGCAAGTCAAGAGGGAGATGATCCTCGCCAAGCGCTTTTTCTTGATTGTGTTTACAGACGCATTATGCTGGATTCCCATTTTTATTCTGAAATTTCTTTCACTGCTTCAGGTGGAAATACCAGGTACAAGCTTTTCCTGGAAAGAATAAATCTGCGTAATGTTATTCTAAGAAAGACAACACTCTTAATGCTAACTTGTTTCAAGAATTACTGGTCAGAGTAATGCGGACTCTGGCTCCATCGTCAAGGAGATGCTTACTGAGAGAAACTCTTCGGTTCTTTCCATAAATGTTTAGTGCCACAAAAAGCAAAATAAATGGTATGCAGTGCTGACACTGGTTGCCTGCCTAAGGTGACCGTGAAGAAAACCAAACAGTTACCAACTTATGAGTTCATTTTTTTTAGAACATAAGGAATGTTCCTCCCTACAATACATCTGATAGAGAACACTGCAGCAGAAAACAACACAGAGTTTTAAAATGATGTACACTGCATGCATCACAGTGGCTGTTATGTTGAGAGAGAAAAAATACGAATATGCTGGTGAGGAGGAGACATTTGACACTTTGTGCTCTGAGAGCAGGAGTTGTAGGTACACTGGAAAAGTATGTCAGCAAGTGGGAAATATTAGATATAGAACTGACATACGATCCAGTCATCCCACTTCTGAATAAATGTCCAGGAGAACTGAAAGCCAAAACTAGATAACTGCACATCTGTAACCCCAACTCCCAGCTGTCTGACACCTGTTTCTGACCTCCTTGGGTACCACACACATATGGCACATACACTGACAGACACAGACACATACAAGTCAAAAGTAATCTTCAAAGAAAGCTGGATTTAGTCAAATATGTTTGGGGATTTTGTTTTTGTTTTCTTTTGCTTTATTTTAAGTTTGGGAGTTGTTTGTTTGTGGTACTAGGGACTGAACCTATGGACTCAAACTAGGCAAGTACTCCACCACAGAATTACATCCTTAGACCTTTTCCCCACTTTTTATTTTGAGGCGCAGTCTTGCTAAGTTGCCTCATTCTTCCATAAGCCAGAATGGACATGTACTTGAGATCCTTTTGTCTCAGCTTTTATCAGTTGGGCTTTTAGACCTGTGACACTATCTACTCAAAAACATTTCACTGAAATAAATATTTGGTTAAAAGCCGGGGAGATGGCTCAGTTAAAAGGTACTTGCCACACATCAGGAGTATGGGTTTCCCAGCAACCACATAAAAAGCAAAGTGTATAGCAGAACATCTGAAACCCAGTTCTGGGGGGAGGCAAAGGTAAGGGAATCCCAGGAGCTCACTGGCCAGCCAGGCTTAGCCCATTAGGTGACATTTTGTCACAGGTCCTGTCACAAAAATCATGTGGAGAGCAATGACCTGACATTAACCTCTGGCCTCCACATGTATGAGCACGTATGTGCACATACACTTGCATGTATCACACACACATACACACACGCACACACACAGTGCATATTGTGCTAGTCTTCAAATGTGTGCCTATTTTTAAAGAAAATAACAAGGCCTGGGAGCAGTTGAGCACTTGCCTTGCAGGTACAATCCCTAGCAGTGCCACAAAGAAAAGCAGAAGAAAACCAAATAAATAGCAAAAATGAAATTCAGTCAAGATAAATCTACATATTCTGAGAAATACTTCCTATTAATCAAAACAATTACACTGGGCGGTAGTGTCACACGGCTTTAACCCCAGCCTTGGGGAGGCAGAGGCAGTGGATCTCTGTGAGTTCGAGGCCAACCTGGTCTACAGAGTGAGTTCTAGGACATGCTCCAAAGCTACACACAGAGAAACCCTATCTTGAAAAAGAAAAAAAAAATTGCAAAGGATGGCAAATGTTTTTTCCTTAAATGGATTCATAAAGACATATGTCGTGACTTTGTGTAAATGCCCAATGTATTCAGGAAATCCAGTGCATTCAGGAAATCCATTCAGAAAGAGCTCCGAGCCTTCACAGCACTGACACCACAGACAGACATCCTGAGAATATCAGACTTGGTGTTTAACGTCACATCAAAGAAAGGGTGGCTGAGGGTGAATGACACAAGAGATGCTTTAAACATCTTTTAAAACTCAGATTTTTCACTTGTCTCTTCCAGATACTATCAGCTCTTGGGTGGTGATTTTTATTCTGCCTATCAACAGTGCTTTGAACCCAATTATCTATACTTTGACCACCAGACCTTTCAAGGAAATGATCCATCAACTCTGGTACAACTACAGACAAAGAAGGCCTGCTGACCGAAAGGGGACTCAGAAGGTATATGCTCCATCATTCATCTGGGCGGAAATGTGGCCCTTGCAGGAGATGCCCACTGAGTTCATGAAGCCAGTGGTTTTCACAGACCCCTGCGATCTGTCACTAGTTTCTCAGTCATCTAGACTCAATTCTTACTCATGACTGGCTCTGGAAAACATTCTCAGAGAATACTGTGAAGTGCTTCTAGACAAATTTGCCGATATGAAGTATATACCACCAAATGTGTAACTTATGGTTAAGACAAGTTCACTTAGAGTGACCAAGGCGGGGAAAGATAGCTGGTGTTCACACAAAGAGAAATAATTACACCGACAATGTGTGCATGCATATCAGTACATATTTGCATAGGAAACGAAGGAAATCTATTTCTAGCATGCATTTATGCACACTGCATGGAGATAAAGTGCTGGGCACACGCAATACAAAGCCTTTTTATCTTCATATTGTCTTTAACAACTAAGCGCAAATTCTGCCCACAGCTCCTAGATTCCTCTGTTATGCATATCAGCAAACATAAGACCCATAGACATTTTAAAATTAAAGTCTCAAGTTTTATCATGCTCAAAAATAACAGCATCAGGTAACATGCGCAGAGACAGGGAGATGCTTAGCAGATAAAAGTGATGACTATACAAGCATGCTGGCCTGAGCTCAGTATCCGGATCCCATGCAAAGGTGGAAGGAGAGAACAGACTCTGGGAAACTGTCCTTTGACCTCGACTCATGTGACATGCCATGTGTGTCCACACATGCGCATCACACACACACACACACACACACACACACACACACACACACGGGGTGTGATAGAGCATACCTGTAACCCCAGTGCTGGGGAGGGAGGCAGAGACTGGAGGGTCCCCAAGGCTTGCTAACTAGCTATTGGGAAGACACTCAACGTCAGCCTCTGACTTCCGCACACACGTGTGTGCTCACCCCTATATACAACAGACACACACAGATAAAGGAGGAAGGCAAGCTTTGCTACAAACTCAGAACCAGCGCTTTTCTGTCACTCCCGACCCGTTTTCTTTTGCCTTCGCTTTAAGTGAGCATCACATGAGCAAACGAACAGGACAGCAGGTAGGAATATTGCAAAGCCGGAAAAGGGAGGATGAGGGCGTTTGAATCAATGCAAGTCCAATTCAGAGAAGAAATAAGCCTTCATGTCTCAACCAACTGGTTATTTAAAAGGGTGACAAGACACATGTACCCTAACAAAACTAAATCAAGAGGATATAAACAACTCATATCCACAACCAGCAAGCAAAACTCTAAAGAAAGCCTAACGCCAATGCTCCTCCAACCGTCCCTCAGATGGGAAGTGAAGGGCACCAGCAAACTCACTCTATGAACCCGGCACAGCCCTGATCAAAACCAGATACGAGTGCAACAAAAGAATAAAAACTATCCACCAATTTCCTGGCAAATATAGATGCAAAGATTCTCAGTAAACACCCCAAATCAAAGTCAAGAACAGGCTGGGAAAAACCTCACACCATGAACAACTTTGTGTCATCCGTTTCATCCAGTGATACAAGCTTGTTAGTCAAATACACACAAATCAACAAAGCTAATATAACACAAAAGTAGAAAAGGATAGATCTCATATGATTATTTCAAGAGACACACACAAAAAAAGGTCTTTGGCAAAATTCAACATCCTTCATGATAAAAGTCCTGTAGAAACTGAGAAAGGGACAGATGCTGGCATAATAAAGTTATAGCTGACTGGACTAAATGGGAAGCGGATGAAGGCGTTTCCTCTAAAGTAGGGAATGCGACAGGAGGGCTACTCAGGGGCCCCACAAGTGTTGCGGGTGGAGAATGAAACTCAGCACTGAGTTTTCAGGTGCTGGGCCACAACTTCCAGCATCTGACCTTATTTGTTTTTTCTTACACACGGTAAAACTTTGGACAGAGGTTTCCAAGTGACAGTGATCCCAACACAGCCTGAGGCACAGCTACACAGAAACTCCCTAGCAAAGCAGCAGAGCACCAGTGATGAGTTCAGTGATAAACAGTGCTCCTGCCTCAGGCCTAAGGAGGAGGGAGCTGTAATAAGCAAAAGGGCAGTTTCTATTGGTGGAGGCTGCAGAGTACCTGGGACTTCTTTTATAAGGATGGGTTCTAGTCTCTGAGAGACAAAGCTCAGGATTGGAGCCTAAACAATGCCCAGGATTGGGGGGGAAGGGGGGTTGTATGGAGATTCAGGAAGACTGGCTTCATAGAATAGCAAAAACATCACCAGGTTGTCAAGACAACATTCACTCCAGCCTTCCGGTGACCAAGCATCAGTCCTTTGGAGCAAATAGGCCTCTGTGTTTAACAATTCTGGTTCCTCCAATGCCTTCTTTAAGCTGTGCTTCCTAGAAGTGCCCACTTCCATAATTCCCTGTTGGGGAAGTCCTGTGCATTTGTCAATAAAGCACTGTCTGGCCAATAGGGAATCTAGATAGGAGGGACTAGAAGTCCAGAAGGACTCTGGGTAAGAGAAACACAATATTCAAGATGTGACGCCATGGGGTAGGAAGCCCAGAAACTTCTCCGGTAAGAGACATACTTAGATTAACAATTATGGGGTAATTACTTAAGTCAGAGCTAGCCAGTAAGAAACAAACAAGGCCAACAGCTTCATAATTAATATAGCCTCCTGTGTATTCATTTGGGACTGAGGCGGCTCTAGAACCATGCTGGCAGGAAGGCTTCTCTCAAAGAAAAAGCTTCTCTTAACAATTCCCATTCAATATACTGTTCAAAGTCTTAGCTTGAGAAAGAATAAAAAGAAACAAAATGGACACAAACACGACAGGAGAAGTTAATATATACTTATTGTAGACAACCCAAATTGACATTTAAAAGACCCTAAACATTCCATCAGAAAGCTCCTAGATCTCAATGTTTTCTGTATAGTGTTCCTAAAAATAGAACTACCATGTGACCTAGTTAATCAATTCATGGGTGAACACCCAAAGTACTGTGTTAATATTATTCACAAAAAAAAAAGGAAAAGGGGAAAAAGGGAAAGAGCCTAGATGTTCATTGAAAGAAAAAAGTAATTTACATATTTACAAAAAATTCAGTAGCCTTCCTATATATCTATAAGACACTTCATTTGAATTGAAGCAAGTTCATTGTGGGTATATAGAAATACTGCTGGCTTTTCGTTTGTTTTGCATTCTATTTGTTAACATGGCAATTTCCAGTTACTTCCATTTTTCTGAAAATGTCATTTTCTTTTTCTTGATGAATGAATAAAGTTCCATTATGTATATGTTAAATGAAATAAGCCAGACTCAAAAGGCAAATACCTCTGTTTTCTCTCATATCAGTGTGTGTGTGTGTGTGTGTGTGTGTGCGTGCGTGCGCGCACGCGCACACACACATGTGAAATGAAACTACAAAAGGAACCATCAGAAGAAGAAATATTGAGTAAAGGACAGGGAAGAGAGTTGGGGAAGGAAGGGGGTAGTATTTGTGTGGAGTTAGGGGCACGAAGGTTGGCAGTGTTCATGTGTATGAGAATGCCATCTAAACTCACTATTTTGCTTGTTAATGTAAAATTAACTTCCAAGACTCTTAAAAGAAAACACAGGGATAACTATTTGAGATTTTGGGTTTTGTGGGGATTCTTAGTGATGCAAAGATGAGAACAGCAAAAAGGGAAAAATGGCTTCATCTAAGCTCGAATCTCTGGGCATAAAGGAGGCAAACTGGGTTAGGAGAGCAACAAGCCCTTGCTACTTTTCCAGAACCCAAATATCACTCCATGTACTCTCACTGGTCAGCTCACAACCACCTGGAAGTCCACGTCCAGGGGTTTGACACACTCTTCTGGCTTTCTTGGACACTGTACTCATGTATACCAACCCACACTCAGACACACACACACACACATACACACACACACACACACACACACACACACACACACACACACACAGTGGGAAAATTTGGCCTTAAGACACAAATTTAAAATAAAGCTACCATATGACCTAGCCTTTTCACCATGACATACAAATAAATATTTGCGCACAATCCAAAGGGTGACAGAACTCTCTTGAGGGCATTTTCCTCTATCTGGCATTCTGTTTGGATGACGTTTACCACCTTACCTTGAATATGATTTGCTTAATCTTTAAAAACTTCCCAAGTCCTGGTATATTCCTGTCATATGAGCACTTGGGAGGCAGAAGCAGGATCAGCAGTCCATGATCAGACGTAGATACTTATAGAATTTGAAGCTACCCTGGGATACATGAGACCCTATTTTAAAAAACAAAAACAATTCAAGGGCTGGGTAACATATGCAAGTCCCTAGGTTTAATCCCTGCTTCACACATATACACACACACACACACAAAAGGGGGAGACCCTTGAACCTTATCCACACTCTCACTGAAAAACCTCAGAATGTTGACCAACTAGCTGGGCACCTGTAGAACCACTGCACATAAAGAGAGTGCAAGGACAGACCTGAACTTTAACATTGCTGGAAGTTTCTGGACAGGTGTAGTTCACGCAAGCATTAACAATTTGAGGTCATGAGATATAGAGGATTTTAAGGTTTCTGAGCAAGAGTGTTCACCGTGCATGTGTGTGTGTGCACCAATTTCATCCCTAGTGTCCAAAGAAGCCAGAGAGGGTGTCAGGTCATCCGGAACAGAGCCATCATGGGGGTGCTGGTACCAAACCTGCAGCCTCTGTAAGAGCAGCAAGTGTTCTTAACCTCTGAGCCATCTCTCCAGCCCTGGGAAACTGGTTTAACCTCAGCTTCCATTTCCTGCTCTGAGAACAGGTATCACTGTCCTCAGAGCAGATGAATGTATGTAAAATTATGTTCCAAAGTTCTAACACAATACATGGTTCACGACATGTCAATGAGAATACTTAATTTTCCTCTTAAGTTTGTATTGAGCTAATTGCCAAGTCAAAAGTATCTTAGGTCTTTAAGAAAATGATTCTCCTCAAGGTTTCTCACAAAATAACACAAAAAATATACAAAAGGGGTTGATTTTCAGTTCCAGCGCTTGGGAAGTGAAGGCAAGGTAGGAATCAAGACCATTTTTGGCTTTGTAGCAACTTCAAGCTCAATCTAGGCTAAAATTTTAAGACCTAGTCTCAAAAAACAAAATGCCTGTAAGTATGGTGTCTTAGGGTTTCTATAGCTGTGATGAAACACCATGACCAAAAAGCTAGCTGGGGAAGAAGGGTTTACTTGACTTACACGTCTATACACTGTGCATCACTGAAGGAGTCAGGACAGGAACTTAGACAGCGCAGGAATCTGGAGGCAGGAGCTGATGCAGAGGTCATGGAGGTGAGCTGCTTACTGGCTTGCTCAGCCTGCTCTGTTATAGAACACAGGACCACCAGTCCAGGGATGACATCGCCCACGTGATGGGCCCTCCTCCATCAATTGCTAATTAAGAAAATGCCTTACAACTGATTTTTCTCAATTGCGGCTCCCTCCTTTCAAGTCGACATAAGACTAGCCAGCACATATGGAAAATAAAAAAATACAAATTGGGGGCCCAAAGGGTGCTTGCTTAGCACATGTAAGGCCCTGGGCTCAGTCCTCAGTGTGATTTGGATAGCAGGAGATACAAATTAACAATTATTTAAAACCATAGAATCACAAATTAACAAAAAAAAGAACACTTCTAGGACAGTGGCTGTGGAGAGAAAAACAAGGGGATGGGTATAAGAGGCAGCAAAGTAAAGTTCCAGTGAGCCTAACATTTAAGGGGGCAGGTAACTGAAAAAGATAAAGAAAAAATGTAACACTAACTCTGCCTGGCAGGAATACACGGGATATAACTAAATCATTCACCTTTTCTGTATGGTTGAACTACCTCATACAGTCTTAAATAATGACCAAGGAAACAGAAATTTACTTGAAATACGTTTAATTTTATACATTTTTAAATTACAATTCTCTGAATATATAAGTGTTTCTCTTATACAGGAATAAGCGTCTCTTTGGTACAAAAATTAGACCATACATGTTGTGTGATCTTAACTAAAAACAACTTCTTAAAAAATCATTAACTATGACTATGTTGAAACTAGTCTTTGCCCATCCGTTTGTCCCCTATCACAGCTCCACTGTGAGACTTAATACAATTCTGTTTACATCACCGTATCTACACAGACATCACATCAAAGATACTTAAAGGTCACAAGTATCAAGGTAGTACATGGCTTGATAACAGATGGCACAAATTACATAAAATACAGCACAGGTACATTAGAACCCTAACAGTAAGATCAACTGATATGAAACCCATTGAAACAGTTAAATTTGATACACTGGAAACAAACTAATTTTAGAATAATGTAAAAAACTTACAAAGTTCCATTAGTGCCATATAGATTTGGTAAGATCTATTTCAAAGATAGAAATCAGACATATAGAACACTAACAAGAGAGATATTAACCAAGAAAGAAGCTAACTAAAAAAAAAAATAGACAAATGTATGTATTCTACAAAAGTTTCCATTTCATGAAGTAAAAGTTTTTTAAAAGTGGGATCACAGAATGGGAAGAATATTTTTTAAAAGTCGTCATTAAGATTCAAAAGCCTATACTGGGTATGGTGTTGAACTCCAGTAGTCCTGCCATCAAAGAGACTAAGACAGAAACCTGGGCTTCAGAGTGAGATTGTCTCAAGACAGAAAAAAACCTCAAATTCCCATTAAAAAAAAAGAATACTTTTCCTTCAAGCTAATGAAGTTTAGATTCATACAGTTTTCTCAAAGAAACAATTAGTCTTCTTCCTAAGAAATAGGAAGCAAACTCATCAAGTCTTAGTCACAGACACTGAGTGTTGTGTGACATGGCTTTGGGTGCCTCGGTAAGGAAGTAAATAAAGCACCATTACTGGCTTCCGAGTTGGTGTCCTAGACCTGGATTCACCACCTGAAGTGTCATCAACTGCCTTAGAGAACAAACCAAGCTCAACTCCAAACTCAGCCAACTGTGGCGTCTTCTCAAAACCCAAATAATGATCTGATTGCACTGAGGCACTAATAAAATCCATTACTTACTGATGGAATTAGCTTCCATAAAGGAGTCTACAAAAGTGTACAGGACAGAAAGCATTTAAGGTAAACACTGTCCTAACAGAGAAAAGAATCAAACAAGTCAAGCTCTCTCAGAAGTCAATAACACCAAGAGAAATTTCATTCTCAGTCTAAATGTCTAGAGACAGGCAGCCCCATAAATGTGGTCCATGTGCAAATATCTTATGCGTGAGTCACTAACCAACCACATCTGCGAGTCAGTTGTCGGGTTTCAAGGAGTCATAGCCTTCTTTCAGGAGGTCCCGCCACGTCTTCAGGAAGCGTGCGTTTTCTGTACACTTCAGGGCAAGCTCTTCCACCTGAGCAGATACCGCGGACGTGGCTTCAAGAAGTTTCGTTAATGAGAACGCTGCCTGCAGTTTAAAGAAAGAAAACTGAAATGGGTTTGTCTGTGGTCCGGGGACAAAACCCAGAGTCCCCACGATTGAGTACACCCTAAATCCCACACACGCTTATTTTTTAATTCCTATCTGATTTAGATGAGAAGTTTAACTTCTCATTGTCTAAAAATAGCTTAAAACCTTCAATCAAATCATCATGTGTTTTTCTTTTGAAGAGAGGGGGAAGAGAGAGACAGAGAGACAGAGAGACAGAGAGAGAGAATTTTCAAACAAAAACACTACTTCTTTCTTGAACTCAAACCCATCCCTGAGCTACACTCACAGCCTTTTTTTTCCCATTATGTAACTTGAGGCAACATATCTGCCACAAAAATACTCATTACACGTGACACATGACAAGTCATTGTTTTTAAAAGAAAACACACCCAACTCTCATGTATTTCACCAAGGCAACTTGGAAAACCCTTGACTAGAAATGGCAACCATCTAACATCTAAAAGACTTCCTCATAAACCACTCTTGCTGATAATTAGGTAACAAAATCACTGCTCCAGCATTTTTACCTGTGAATACTTTAAAAAAAAAATCGAAGACCTGATACTCTGAACTGACAGAACATCTAAAATTACACACAGCCATGAGAAACCCACTTTTAAATCAAATGACTTCTTCACCAGAGATATAAAATAGCACCTTTTTTTATATGACATCGGTAATTAGTCTACACATTTATTTGCAATCAGTATTGTTTTTTTTGGGGGGGGGGGGGGAAGTGCCCTGGAGCAGCACTCCAGTCACCGCTTTAAGAAAAGTCTGCAGTCTTGGCAGGGCTGTCATCCACCAGGCTCTCCCAGGGCCCGCTACACACCCCGCTCGCCCTCTCGGGAGCCCCTAGAAAGTGAAACCCAGCCCTCCCACCCCCTCAGCGGAGCGGGCGATGATGTCGGGCGGAGACTTCTGGAAACTCGAGATGGAGCAGAAACTTGACAAAGCGTCCCCTTGCAGGAATCGGTGAGGCGCCGGGTCTAACCCACCCGGGAAGCCGATGGCCTCGGCGGCCGGCTGTGATTAGCCCCGGTCCGCGACCCACAGCGGTGCCACCAGCAAAGGCGGGCGGGCGGGAGGGCGGGGAGGGATGCCGCGACCGCCCGAAGCACTCAGAGAGATGCGGAGGCGGAGCGCGGACCCCGGCTGCGGGGCTGCGGGGCTGCGGGCGGGGAGGAGGGCACGGCCGGGGGCGGCGGCGGCGGACCGAGCCCCGGGCGGCACTCACGTCTCCGATCTGCAGCTCCACTTGCTCCAGGGGGGTCCGCCGCTGGGGCGTGGCCTCGGCTCGGACTCCGCCAGCCCAGACTCACGGGCATGCTGAGAGACGACGAAGAGGCGCCTGAAGACGGCGACGAGGGAGGCGGCGGCGGCGGCGAAGCCCGAAACTCCTCGGGGTCGGCCATGGGGCTGCGCCGGGGCCGCCGCACAGGACCGGGCAACCGAACCCACGCCAACCGCCTTTCAACAGCTCGCGCCCAAAGCCCGCAGGCTCCGCCTCCTCCCACACGGGGTCCCGCCCCATCTTCTCGTAGGTCTCAGGCCGGGGCCACACGGACGGTTCGTTTCCCCAGACAGCCAATCAGAGGCGAAGCCAGGCGTCACCCCGTTCCTGCGCACACCTTCCGGTCGGCTCGGAGGACGCTGGAGCTGGACACTACAACTCCCAGAGTGCCGAGCGAATCGCCCCCCCCACTCCGCTCTGCTTTCAACACGCGTGCGCGCAGGCTGAGGGGGCGGGGCTTGCGGGCCTCTTCCGCTCCCTCGGCTCCTGGATGAGGGCGGGCGGCTGGGAGATGGAGTCTTCTGCCTTTTTCTGGCTGGTACGTGACCCGGGAAGTTTATTGGCCGCGCCGCGTCCTCCGTGGCGCCGGCGCAAAGCAGGAGAGGGGCGGGCACGCCGCGAAGCGAGGGCGCTCGGCGCAGCCCAGACACCGACCTGAGCCGGGCAGTCGGGGCTTCTTGGCAGGTGATGGCGCCCCCCGTGGCCTGAAAGCCCAGCGCCCCCCGCAAGCCGCAGACCGGCCTCTCTCCGTGTCCTGGTGCAGTCTGCGGGCTCCTAGGAACATGCTGGTGCGGCTCGCCAAGCTGCCCTGCCCTGGTGAGACACAGCTCCTGGTGGGGACAGAGACGGCAGGTGGATGGGGGGGGCACCTGGGGGCGGCAAGCGCCGCTCTGCTCACCGGCTTCGTAGGCTGAACTAGGGTCGGGGCTGTCGGCGCCGGTCGGTGGACCCTGACTTCCCGTCCTTGACGTTGCCCCAGTTGGCAAAATTGACATCTAGGTTAAAGGTCACGAGCGGGGGAAACTTGTCAACACTCGGCTCCTCCGTGGAGTCCTCCCAAATCCCGGCCCTAATCTCTATCCCCAGGCTCGGGTATCCCTGCTGCCTTACTGGAACGGGAAAGAAAGGGAAACCTGGTGGGCTTTCCTCTCGGCTCCCACCTGACTTTGATCTTTGTGGCCCTTCTAGTCCAGTCTTAAAGTGACGTCTGAGCCGTCCTATCGTGTTTACTCATGCGCTGCCCGTGTCGCCAGTTTGGTCTGGAGCTGCAAAGTTTTCTGCTTTAACTGCAGGTGCTTCTACTATGGGTGCTTCTTAAAGCGGTTGGATGATAATTTTTTAATTTTACTTAAAAACAACCCCTAATTCAAACAGAAGTTTGGAGGTTCTTGAATCCTGTTTTAACTGGCTTAATATAAATCTTTACTGAATTAAGATTTGGCTGTGGAAATTTTAAACAAGGATACCAAGCATCTGTTATTACACACAGGATATGTTCTGCTTTGAGGACCATGAATGTATTAGATGCTGACTTTTTTTGGTTTTGGTTTTTCGAAACAGGGTTTGTAGTTTTGAAGGTTGTCCTGAATCTTGCTCAGTAAACCAGGTTAGCCTCGATCTCACAAAGATCCACCTGTCTCCGAGTGAGGCGACTAGAGGCGTGCGCTACCTTACAGCCTAATTTAATTGCAATCAGTCTTGAGTCCAGTCAGTGACTTGTCTTTTTTGTTTTGTTGTTTTTTCAAGACAGGTTTCTCTGTGTAGCTATGGAGCCTGGTCCTGGCACTCGCTCTGGAGACCAGCCTGGCCTGGAACTCACAGAGATCTGCCTGCCTTTGTCTCCCTCTGCTGGGATTAAAGGCTTGCCCAGCCAACGCCCGCCTGGCTGTTCCACTGTTAACTCAGTGTTAGCACTAGAGACAACAACTATGTAATGTGTATGGCTGATCGCTCGCGGTGGACTCTACTTCTCTGCCATACCTCAATCTCTGCCTAAATGTTCAGATGCCTCATGAGACGCCAGGCTTGTTTTAGCAGAGAGTAAAGGTTATGCCCTTTTTAAATTTCCTGGTGGAAATCAGAGGTCATGGTTTCAACTGTTCTCAAGCAAAGTAGTAGCTGTACAAATAGTTGAATTAAAGTATGTTATATTCTCTCATTAATTTTCAGAAATAAATAACTTGTATATACTAAACTACACTTAATACTTTTTAAATGATAGTATATTCGAGCTCAAACTAAATTTGTATGTAATATTTATAGGAGATTTAGAGTAAGTAAAGACTTAATCTTGGTCTTAATAAGGTATTCCTGGGCTGGAGAGATGGCTCAGTGATTAAGAGCACTGGCTGCTCTTCCAGAGGACCTGGGTTCAATTCCCAGCAACCACATCGTGGTTCACAACCATCTGTAATGAGATCTGGTGCCCTCTTCTGGTGTGCAAACATACATGCAGAACACTGTATACATAATAAATAAATAAAATATTTTTAAAGTGCTTACTCGAAAAAATAAAGTATTCCTAGTATAATTTTTATACTTGTTTATTTATTCATTCATTTTGGTTTTTCGAGACAATGTTTCTCTGTAGCCCTAACTGCCCTGCAACACCCTCTATAAATCTCGGGCTAGGCTCAAACTCACAGAGATCAATCTGTCTCTGCCTCCCAAGTGCTAGGGTTAAAGGCATGTGCTGCTGCTACCCAGCAAAATTGTAATTTTTTAGTGTGTGTTAAAAGTTGAGAAAATCAGCCGGACGTTGGTGGCGCACACCTTTAATCCCAGCACTTGGAGGCAGAGGCAGGCGGATCTCTGTGAGTTCAAGGCCAGCCTGGTCTACAAGAGCTAGTTCCAGGACAGGCTCCAAAGCCACAGAGAAACCCTGTCTCGAAAAACCAAAAAAAAAAGTTGAGAAAATCGGTTTCCCTACCACCTTAAAATTATCAAAAGTAAACGTATAATAAAGGTATCATAACATTTATTGTTTTTTGGTTTGGTTTGGTTTGGTTTGGTTTTTCGAGACAGGGTTTCTCTGTAGCTTTGGAGGCTGTCCTGGTACTAGCTCTTGTAGACCAGGCTGGTCTTGAACTCACAGAGATCTGCCTGCCTCTGCTTCCTGAGTGCTGGGATTAAAGTGCACCACCAACATCTGGCGCTAACATTTATTGTTTTGATGCCAGGTATTACTTTAAAAACTATTTTGTTGAAAATATTAAAAACTATTAACGATGCAATTGGTGTTAAAAAAAATTCGTTTGTGCCAGGTTAATGCCGTCTTTCTATTTAATTAGAAGAAAAGAAAAATTTACCATAGCCTCAGGTTCTATGACTTCAGAGATAACTTGAGATCAACTACTAGTCTCAGTTTGACAGGTACCAGAAGAGACCATCTGAATTTGTTTGCCTGCTCTAAGTAGGGATTTTAGCTGCTCCACACATCTCTGAAAGTTATAGGGGATAAGATATGATAGTTTTGCTTGGAATGGGTTCTCATGTGTCAGGTAGGTTATGTAGCTGAGGATGACCTTGAATTTCTGATCCTCCCAGTGTGCAACACCACAGCCGGTTTATGTGGTGCTAGGGATCCAACCAGGCAAGCATGCTATCAACTGAGCCACATCCCCAAGACATAGCACCAAAATGCAAAGTTCATTGTAACTTACAGACTATATAGTCAAAATGAAATTCTTCATTTGTCTTTAGTATTTACTTTTTACAGTCCATATATAAAAGTTTCTTCATGTGTAGATGCTTTATAAGACACAGTTCAAGTTATAAAAGGCCAGAATTTACTATTATGCCAGAAATTAAATAGAAGTTCACAGGCTTCTATGTATGTAGCCACTGAAATTGTTCCTAGGAGGAAGGTCCCAGTCCATTTAGCAAACAGGTATTGTTCGATTTTTGTTTTTTGAAATGAGTTTTTCTACGTAGCCATAGCTGGACTAGAACTCTCTATGTAAACCAGCTGACCTGATAGTCACAGAGATCCACCTGCCTCTGCCTCCAAATACTGGGATTAAAGACATGTGCCACCATGCCCATCTGAATAACTTGTTTGTTTTTGATTTTCCGAGACAGGGTTTAGCTGTGTAGCCCTGGCTGTCCTGGAACTAGTTCTGTAGACTGGCTCTGCCTCCCAAGTCCTGGGATTAAAGGCAAGTGCCACCACTGCCCAGCTAGTTGTAGCTCTTGTAGTTCAGTCTTCGATCTACTTTTTGTTTTCACTATATTCTTTATTTAACGTTTTATTTTGAACTTGATTTAGGCTTTCAGATGAGTTGTAAAGCAAATACAAAATTGTCGAGCTTAACAGCTTACATGATCATGGTGAATATCAAGACTAAGAAATTAACCCTGATGAAATGTTATTACATAACAAGGGTTCAGATCCCATTTTCTGATCCAGGATCTATTTCATGCTGCTTTTAGTTAGCTTACCCTCATCTATTTTAGGGACATATTTCCTCTGCTTGCCTTTTGTGACCTTGATGCTTTTATTGAATCTTTCTTATTACATCATATCAATGGCACTCAACATCAGTATGTTGCTGGTAATATTTAAATGATATTTGATCACTGAATTCAAATTTTCTTACTATATTTTTCTAATATAAATTTTGTGGTTTTTTTCCTTTTTAATCTTCTACTTATTATGAACTAGTTAAGTTCAATCCACACTCAAAAGGGAAAGAACCAAAAAAATTATGGGTATATCACAGTCGTTAGTACTATGAGTTTCTCTGTAAAAATGTTTGATTAAGGTTGGTATAGTGCTGTACACCTATAATCTCAGCCCTTGGGAGGCAGAGGCAGATGGATCTTTGTAGTACATACCCAGCGTTGTCTACATAACAAGTTCCACACCAGTCTGGGCTGTGTAATGAGACCATATCTGAAAACACACACACACACACACATGCACACACATGCACACGCACGCACACGCACGCACGCACACACACAGAGAGAGAGAGAGAGAGAGAGAGAGAGAGAGAGAGAGAGAGAGAGAGAGAGAGAACATTGATTGAATGGGATAGACTTTCACATAAAGAACAGAGTGTACATTGTTTCCAAATGTTTTTCTGTCTGTTTTTATGCCATTTAATAAGTAACAGCTCCGTTTGTATTCAGTCTCTGAGCCATTCATTTTATTACACTGTTTCTTACTTGTTTTAAAGATTTGAAAATTTGATCATGACCAAAAGCTAGCTGTATAATTCATCTAAGA